ACATGGGAAGATAAGATACTGCTCTGAAGATTTAGAAGCAACACATAGTTCTAAAAATGATTTTTTGTAGCAAGCAGATGCAGTCTCCTGAAGGAGAGCCAGGACAATATGACCTCTATAGTGAGAACAAGCTGAAACAAGGCAAAAATTGCTGAAGTCGAAGTGAGCTGAAATAAGATGATAGAGAAACCTAAAATGGAGGAAGTAAAAGAACAAAATCGATGTAGCAGTTTTGATTAATTCACTCATGAAATATTTATTGAACCTACTATGTGCCTGCTATTCTAGGCACTTATGCAGTAGTGAATAAAACATACAAAGCAACTATGAAAGATCCAACCTAAAAGTTACAAGGTTTCTAGTGAAAAATATTAGGAAAACAGGTGTAGAAACAACCTTTAAGGTTGCTAATTTCATTGATTTCCAGATAATATTAGTTCAACCCCCCCCTTCTAGATATATTCTGGTAATTTAAAATTTTTATTCCAAGCAAAAGGAAAAGTCCTAATAGGATCTAGGCGGAAACAAAGTTATCTGTGTTGGAACAAAAATCAAATTGGCCTCAGACTTCATTTTCTTCCTCTTGGAAGGAGAAGAAAGTGTATGGAGAAGAATGAAGTACATGGATTTTGTTATAGACTTTTTACTACTATGTGCTGGAAGGTTGCTTTAATAAACATACAAACCTACAATGTCTGTAATGTGAATGGCATTTTCCAGGGCTTTGCTGTGCATACAACTTTACAGGGATCCTGAAGATGGTGGAGAACATAAGGTTGCCTTCCCAAGAATTCTGTGCCTGCCAAGTTGCCATTCATGTGTGAGGACTTGCACACATGTAATGATTTGGAAAATAGGGTACTTCCTCAGAAAGCCACTCAAAGATGCACACTGAGCAAAAAATGCAAATCGAGCTCCAAAAAAATGTGAAAACCACAGTAGAAAAGGAATAGAGGTAAAGACTGAAGCCAATAAAATATATAAAGAAATATAGATTATGTATAACTGCTCATGTGTGTATAATTATAAATTAAATACAACAGCCAAAATCTATTCTCAAAAATAAATTATACAAAATGGTAAAAGAAGAACCAGGGTCTGTAATCCCAGATTAATTTAAAACAGGTCACAGTAGGGGCACCTGGGTGGCTCAGTCAGTTAAGTGTTCAACTCGTGGTTTTGGCTCAGGTCATGATCTCAGGGTTGTGGGATCGAGCCCCACGTAGGGCTCAGAATGGAGTCTGGTTGAGATTCTTTCCCCCTTCTTTTCCCTCCCCCTCTGCTGCTCTTCCTGTTCGTGCGTGTTCCCTCTCTCAAATTAAAATAAATAAAAAATAAAACAGGTCACAATAATTTAAATTGATTCTGACATAAGAATCAACAGATCAGTCATGTAGACTAGACTAGAAAGCTCTGAAAGAAAATCTGGAGCATATATGTAAGAATGCTAAGGTACAACAAAGAACTAAAAATCCGTGGTAAAGGGGCACCTGGGTGGCTCAGTCGTTAAGCGTCTGCCTTCGGCTCAGGTTGTGATCCCAGGGTGCTGGGATTGAGCCCCGCATCGGGCTCCCTGCTCCGCGGGAAGCCTACTTCTCCCTCTCCCACTCCCCCTGCTTTTATTCCCTCTCTCGCTGTCTCTGTCAAATAAATAAATAAAAATAAAATCTTAAAAAAAAACTATAGTAAAGAGTATTGGGAAAATCAATTCAGTATTTAGAATTATATTAAATATAGATTCCCTCACCATGTCATATATTAAATGACAGGTGGATCAAGTTTAAGGAGAGAAATTAAATCACTAAAATATTGAGACATAAATGTGGATGAATATTAACCATACTCAGGCTAAGTAAGGACTTTGAACACAAAAGTAGTGGACATAAAGGCATATATCAATAAATGTGACTATGTAATTAAAAGTTATATTCAACAACAACCAAACCCTAAATAATTTAATGACCACAACAATCTGGGGAAGATATTTGTAACAAAATTTGGCAACAGGTTAACATCCATAACATCAAGAAAAATATTAAGCTTATTAGTAGACTTTTTTTCACTTACCAGTTGATAGAATGAAACTTCTCTGACCTCACTGATGTCTAAAGACTTTTTTCAGTGATTGTATTTACTATTGGCTATGGTTATAGAGTGTGTGTTCTTATATATTGCTGAAGGGAACTGTGAAATGATGTATTTTTGTATATCCATTTTGGCAGTATTAGGAGCCTTTAATGTTCATACCGTTTGACCCAGATATATCACCTGCAGAATTTACTCTATGGAAATAAAGACACAGATGTCAAAGTATATTCACAGTTAAATAACAGTCCATTAAAAAATAATGGTTTTAAAAATTATTTAATGACAGATTAAAATATAGCTCATACAATATCAAGTGAAATAAAAACATGTAACACTGTACATAATATTACTATTCCAATTTGAGAAAAGTTTACTGGGAAAAAATAAACCAAAATGCTAGCAATGGTTATACCTTTTATATTTTATGTTTTCTGTAATGAGTTTGTATTATTTTTATAAGCAGCTTGAATAAAAGTGAAATGTCAAATTCTTTCCAGCATTTTCTGCTCTTAAATGCATGTAGTTTCCACTAAACATTGAGTTGATTTTATGTAGAAAACTTCATGTTTCACTCATTCTTTAAGTAAATATATAAACTGTATTGAGTAAATGAGAGAGAGAGAGAGAGAGAGAGAGAGAGTGTGTGTGTGTGTGTGTGTTGAGACAGGATTTCCATGGTATTGGTGAAAGGATGAATAATAAACATTTTATTTGACCCATTTTCAGGCAACTGTTTTATACAATGAATTCTATTTATGAGATGCCAGAAATTAATCAGTTTCTTTCTTGAAGATGATGTAAATAAGTTTGTTGTAAATGTAAATTTGTAGTCCTATCATGGGCGAATTAGAACTAAGGAAGACCTTTTATAAAATCAGACAACGTTAACACTTAGGATGCAATAGAAAGGTGCCTTGGCATGTGATATAATGAGTACTGGGTATTATATAAGACTGATGAATCACTGACCTCTACCTCTGAAACCAATAATACATTATATGTTAATTAATTAAATTTAAATTAAAAAAGATACCTTGGGACTCTATTTAGAGTACAATATAGGATGAAGCATGACTTGGAAGATCTCTCAGCTGAAATGTGAGCAGTTTTTTTTTTTTTTTTTAAGATTTTATTTTTATTTATTAGAGGGCAGGAGAGGGGTAGAGGGAGAAGCAAACTCCTTGCTGAGCAGGGAGCCCGATATGGGGCTTGACATGGGGCTCTACACGGGGCAGGATACCAGGACCCTGGGATCATGACCTGAGCTGAAAGCAGACCCTTAACCAACTGGGCCACCCAGGTGCCCTGAAATGTGAGCAGTTTTACTCCCTTCCTGGGTGCATATCATGCTGCCTCTTTGTGTCTGGAGCCAAGTTTCCTGATAGTGTTTGTTCTTTCTCTTATGCCATTTGTAGTTTGCTGGCTAGAGCCTTTTGAAAAGGAGCAGTGTAAGAAAATGGTTATCACTGTGTTAAGAGGGAGTAGCATACCTCGCAGAGTTACCTGCTACTACCTGTACTAATATTCTAGCTGATCATCCCCCACATCACTTTGAATTTGCAGTTATTTCTTCCCAATAATGAAACACTTCCAATATCAGAAAGTACCTGGAAGGCTGAGTACAAATAAATTGTATCCCAGAAGCTGTCTGTACTCTACAATTCTATCAATCCTCCATTAACAACAAAAATGTAATACTCGTAAGAACCTTTTTCCTCAGTAGCCTATAGCACTTTCAGATGAATTTTTTTCTCCTATAACAAAGATGAAAGCTGGTATTTTCTTATTTCACGGGGCAGATGAGAAACAGAAAGGGTTTGATTTTACAGACCTAGTTACAACTCAGGGTTTGTCGTTGAGCATAAGAATTTAAATGGTCATTCCTCCCCCCGCCCCCCGCTTTCATGATCCCCCTTTGCTTTTATAAACAACTAAAAAAAAGTGTTTATTTTTAATAAGTTAATGATTTATACCTTGTTATTGCCTGCTATTTTGTGCATTTTTAAAGCCTTTGTTTTGATGTGGGGACACTCTTTTATTAAAAGATTTGCTCCTACAGATCTGAAAGTGTACCCACTTAGAGTACAAAAAAGCAGACCTGAGTCATTCAGAAGACCTTTCTATATAACATGTTGGCTTTGAAGAATCTATATATTATTTTGCCAAAAGCTTTTTTTATTCCTTTTACAGACCAGAATTAGACATGAGTTATTTAACCTCATGGTGCTTAGTTCTGAGCATTTCCATTTCCTTTCCAGCCCTTATATTTTTTTGAAATGTTTCAGTTTAAAGTAGGGTTCTGCTCACAAACTACTTCTGTTCAGGAGACCGAAATAAGGGCAGGAGGGGAGGTAGTGATTGGTATTTGGCGGCAGATGTTTGTCTCTCTTTGGGTTTGAAATGACCATCAATAGGGGAGAACTAGTGAACTGGATAGTTTGTTAGGAAAAGTTAAGTGAAGGGAGGAGACTTTCTTTCAAGGGGAATTCTGCTACCATCAACTACCGAGTATTATTGTAGAAGCCTTTTCTCTGCTATAGAAGTCCAATTAAAGTGTGTCCCTGAGTTTCAGAAGGAAGTACAGATGATGGTATATTTTATTGTCAGTCATCCTGACATTTTTGTGTAGCCTCAAGACCTCGACACTTCTGGTTTATCCATGGTCTATCACCATCTCTGCTCTTGGTCCCCTTCTCTCTCCCCCTTGTTTTTTTTCCTTTTCTGACAATGTCTGTAGGATGGTAAGAAAGAGAATTTTGGAACCATGAAATGAGGGGCTGGGAAAGAAGACGATCTATTGGTTTACTTTCTGGTTTCTTGCTGTTCTGTCCCCAAATATACCCCCAGACAATTGGGATTCCCAGTTTTAGAAACACTGGGAAATGACTTTCTGCCTCTTTTTTCCTTTGCAGGAAACACATGAAATTGTGGCAATCAAGAAATTCAAGGACAGTGAAGGTATATATATATATATTTTTTTTTTTCCTTTTTGTATTTAGTCCTTGTGAATAGAATGTGGAAGAGATGGGATCTAGCTAACTAGACTTTGTTCCTGAAATTTTAAAGTGTCCATCTCAGAAAGTGAGTATAGCTTATTTATTATCATGTTTTGCTTTGAAACATTTGGCTCTTTCTGTGTGAATCTTTTCATATTTCATGATATTAGAAAATTTATCTTATATTTTAAAGTATAGTCAACATTGTGGAAATCTTGCTTCAAATGCTGGGTAGAAGGCATGCTATTTATGCTATTCCTTAATATTATTAAAATGAGAAAACTGATTTGAAATAAATACTTTTGTGAGTTCACACAAGTAGTAAGTGCTGTTTGAAGGGCTTTGGTATTGGTTACTGTGACCTCCAGTTTCTAGTCAATTAGAAATACAAGGATAAGTGGTATGTAGATGGTACCAAGAAAGTGATTATATATTTAAAATAACATTGGAAGAATAAAAGCTTTTCAAGAAGAAATACCATAGTTGGAGTCCTTGGTTACATCCAGACCATTTCAGATGGAGTATTAAAATTACCCTATGCTGGGCAAGAAAATTTAAAATAAAGCACTAAAAAAAAATAGTGTACAAAATATAAATAAATAAAGCATTTCAGTAGTTCATTAGGTTTTAAATCTAGGCTATTGGCCATCTAAAGATAGCCAAGTAGAAAAATTTACCATGAAGGCACACATGGCCTTTCAGAAGTTTTAGGCAGCATTCCCCCAATTTTTTTTCCTACAGAGACCCACAGAAATACTTTTTTACATTCTAATCCAGTATCCACATACATAATGTCCTATATATAACTGAAGCAAAAATGTCACAAAACTATTACACTAACGTGAGGTTCTTCGTTTTCTGTTCTTTCCTGCTCATATAAATTCACATCAATGCCTATTTGTGGCATCAGATAACATTGATTTTTACCACTGAATCATAACCTACTTTGAAAAATAGCACTAAGAGGCACCGGCGTAGCATTAACTTTCCTGTCTAACTGGACGTATGACAATAGCAGTCATAGCCTACCTCCATCAGCACACATTGACTAAGTACTGTAAGACACCAGCCTCTATATTTGTGAACAGTTTCATCACTCCTACTTTAGACACTTAGTAAACATTAAATAACCAAAAGGGCTCACTAACAAATAACGAAGTCCTGGGGTAGATTCAGTAGTATTTGATATAACCCACCTCTGATGTGCTGGTTATGTGGAGCACATCACATCATCTGGGAAACCTTAGCAGCCATTGTCTTGCCAGCCTTAAAGAGAAGGCAATAAAAAATGCTTTTTAGCTTGTTCTAAAGAAAAAAAAAAACCCGCTTCAAATGATGTACCTGTAGTCTAACAGGAAACAATAGCCCCAGGCCAGTCCACTCTGAGACCATTGGCAATGAGCTCTTTGAGCAGTGGCTTTGGGCTAACCACAGGTGGCCAAGAGACAAATGGTGATCTACTAAAAAGAGTGGTTGCAACAGTAGATCAAAGCATAACCTTTGCCTTCGTGTAAAGACTTCTGGCTGTGCATTCATCTTGTAAGGCAAACCGTCAAGCATTGGTTACCACCAAAAATAATAATTGTCACGAAGTTTTTGAAAGGCAGTACAATCTAGGTCACGTATGCCATTGCTTTAAAAAAAAAAAAAAACAACTAAGTGCCACATTCTTCACAATCCCTGTTCTGTGCATACCTATTCTTAGCTTCAGTTAAACAATGTGTTTGTACCTGTGTGCTGATACCTTCAGAGTGGTAATCAATAGCGTATCTGTTGAAATTTATTGAGCACTGAGCCAGGTGCTGTAAGAGACATGAGGGTAAATCAAGTGTGGGTAATTTCAGGAAGCTGAGTAGAATTAAGACCTGTAAATAAAGAGCAGTAAAACCGAGTAGAAAGCAGTCAGTGCCTGAATGAATTTGAATAATTTTGAGGCAAGAGACATTGTTTCTAGCTGTGGCATCCAGAAAGTATATGAATAGTCTAGACATTATACGAAACATTTGATCAGCCTTCATTTCTGTGTGCTGACAAAGCATGAATCCCCTCTGCCCTCATCTCTGCCAGACCATTATTAGTTACCATACCTTACGGACACGCAACCTTATCACCCAGCCACCTAGCAGACGGACACCTTTGTAGGATCACCCATATATACTTCCAGAGGGATACTTCCTTAACATTTCTATGATAGAATCTGAAGACATGCAATTATTCATAACTTTTTCGTTCCAGTTCTATTCTAGGCACACTTTCCTACTGTTTCCAGCTCTCCTGGGAGATCTCATACTCTTCTTTTCTGCCTTTGCCCTTTTCCTCTTACCTGAGTAGAATCTTGCTTAATAGAAGTAAGGGAACGTGTGTGGTGAACAGTCCTTTTGGAATGTGAAGTGCACATAGATAGTTCAGTACAGATGAGAATGTGCATTCAACCCCTGTGGAAACCACTTAATTCTGAACCATTTATCACCTTAAATTTCAGTCAGGACAATTCTAACAAAAATAGAGTTTCATCATAATATCCTTATTGTCATATAGCTCTCGTTAATTTCATTTATTAGTTACTCTGAAAATACTCTGTTGATACTATGTTAGTGAATTTTCTAAACCCAATGTTTAAAAATCTTTGTGAAGATCATGACATAATCCTATAAAAAATTGTTACACTGAAATAGGATCTGAACTTGGTCTGATTTGCATTCAAGCTAGTCAAGTATTCTCATACTGATGCTATCAAGGGATATTTTATGAGAGAATATATTCTGTTAGCTTTAAGAGATTGTGATCATGTCTTATTTTCTTAGTAAATTCATATATATCTACAAATTTGTATAAAATGTTTTTGAAACTACATTTTAAGGTAGACCACTATTTAATTCAAGCTGTCCTTGTTATCCCAGGATAATAGATGCTTATCTAAAATTGGAACCAAACTTTAATAGTAAATAAAAGGTTAGACTGGGGAGTGCCTGGGTGGCTCAGTTGGTTAAGCGACTGCCTTCAGCTTGGGTCATGATCTCAGGGTCCTGGGATCGAGCCCTCTCCCACTTCCCCTGCTTGTGTTCCCTCTCTCGCTGTCTCTCTCTTCTGTCAAATAAATAAATAAAATCTTAAAAAAAAAAAAAGAAAGGTTAGACTGGGACTTTAGGTTGGGAAAATGGAACAAAAATTATAAAAATAAGTTTATCTTATAGTTAATACAGTTTGGATTATAATAGCAACTATGTGCTATTTCTTAGAAAAAAAATCCCAACCTTTTTTGGGAGAGGGGCAATTTTTACAGTAAAACTGTAGGCTAAGTCAATGAATGACTTTCATAATAAAAAGAGGCTCATTAAAAAAATACACCAAAGGCTTTGTCAGTTTTCCCTTTGTCTGTCCCCGTCTTTCTGTCTTCATCCTGTCAGTTTTTTACTCTCCAGTTATTAGCTGTTACAACTCTGTCAGATCAATTATCAGTGTCTTTTGTCTATGATTTTCCTCGAAAGACTGACATACTGGGTGAAGATAAAAACTCATGTTAAAATGGAGGACTTGTGTAAGTGATGACATTTTTATCTGAGATCTCTTCATTAGTTAATATTGTTTTGTTTTGATGACTTTTGCTTCTTTATTCATCATCATCAATGTAGAGTTTCAGATAATTAATTCTTTTTTTTTGAGAGAGAGAGCACACACATGCGAGTGGTGGGGAATGGGCAGAGGGAGAAGGAGAAAGAGAATCTTAAGCAGGCTCTAGGCCTAGCATGGAGCCCGAAGCATGGCTTGATCTCATGACCCATGAGATCACGACCTGAGCCAAAACCAAGAGTCAGACGCTTAACCGATTGAGCCACCCAGGCACCCCTATGAGTTTGTCTATTAATATAAGTTCCCACAAAGAAACATTAACTATGAACACCTAATCAACCAGGAGTCTTCATAGAATTAGTTCTACTTAGTATTTGGATTTTCTGAGAAGAGAAAAATGACCACAGACCAAAAAGTTACTAGAAATGATTTAGTTGAAAGATATTTTTTGGACTATGTATAATGATAAATTTAGCCTAATTCATCTACCCTTCCTATAACTCCAATTTTGTACAATGAGATTCGATGTTCAGATGATAATCTTCTGTCATTGTTGGAAGATCATTCTCATGCACACACATGTGCAAATGTCTGCCATCCTCAATTTATTGAATAATCCAAGAGCCATGATTTAGCCTAGATAGATTTGAATTAATGAGAATTAAAAATGTCGGTTCATCTTTTACTTGAGGAGGTCCTGTGATCTAGGATTTATTTTTGACATACATTTGGATCTTCTGGTGTGACATCTTTAGCTTCTTAGGACTTTTTAGTCTTTCCCTAAAAGTACAGGTGATGGGGTGAGGAGGAGATCCTCCCTATGTCACTGGGCCTTGGTACATGGCAAGGAGGCTGATTCTGAGGGAGCTGTAGAGCAGTCCATAGTTAAGATGGAATTTAGGTTATGCCTCTGCTTGCATTTCATATCCTGCTTATCTTTTCTGTAGATAAATATTTTTTCTCTTGGAATGGACATATTTATTCTTTTTAAACATGAGAAAATGTTTAATTGGTCATTCCTTCTTTTCTCCAGTTTATTTCATCATTATTTTTACCCAGACTTTAGAAAGCTCTAGCCTGATCTCTGGTTTGAGGAAACTCTGATCTCATTCTGTATAATGGTACAAAACAAGAGTTCATAGTCTTCGGTCCTTAAATTCAAAAACCTGATTTCTCTGTAAATGAGGCCTTAAAACAAACTTTCCTACCTTTGCTTAAACAGAGAATTCAGTTAACTAAGCTTGAGCGTTCTGGCTCGTCATGATTTCACCACACTTCTTTTAATGTCCAGAATGGATCTCTTTCAAGCTTCAGGGATTCTTCTAGGATTTGATGAGCATTTGTACCTTTCATACTTTAATAAATTTCTGTTGTGCTCTACCCGGTCTTCATTGCCGAAGATTTAAGGATTTTCATCTTTTTTGGTATATATGGTAGCAGTACCGCCATTCAGCGCCCTGGGGCCATGTTAATTGCCCTCTTGTTGGTATTCCTTCTTTAGTCAGGGCAACCAGACTCAAACATGGTATCCTTATGGTTTTGTACAAAGATGGGTTGGCTTTTTCCCCTCCATTGTACCCGTTTAAAGGTCCATTTTGCGGGGCTTCTTTGGCTATACAAGAATGTCAGGTTTGTGATTTCATAAAGTAGGTTACAGCTATTTCTGGATTTCTTTTTCAAGCGCACAGTTCTTTAAAAATAGAGTTACAATAGAGTTTCTGCTCATCTTTAGATTCTTCTCTTTTCATTACTTACTTTGCATTTCTTTTGCTCCTGTGATTTTTTTTTTTTTCTTAAAAATTGTTTTCTTTTACTTTAGTGAATCTCCCTTCTTGATTTTTAGTGTGTTAGCTTGCCTAACTGGCGAGCTAAAAGTAGGTTAGTTCTTTGTTTTTTTTCTTACTTAGCGTCCTTTTTCTACCCTGCCATTTAATCATCATTCAAAAAAATTTATGTAACATTGTCAGACTTGCTGCCCGGACTAAGCTAAACACCCTCACTGGTAACTGATGACCAGGTCCATCAACATGCACATAAGTAGGACTTGCATGGAAGCACCAGGTCTGAGAGCTGGAAGCACCCTCAGAATCATCTAGTAGAAGTCCAACTCCAGTTTACAGCCAAGGAATCCAAGGCCCAAAGGTGCATAGCTAGTATGTAATTAACTGGGAAAGATGCAGACCTCAAGATCTTTGTCGAGTTTTTCTTGGACCCATACCATATTGCTTTGCCACTCCGCTAAGCAGTAGCAGAGTGCAGACCTGCACTTGGGTGTTCTGACTCATTCTCTAAAGCTTGCTCACTACCTTACACCATGTTGCCTATGTCCCTGTGTTCTACTGAGTGTGGTGTTCCCTTCACTCATCCTGAGGAAGTTATTCTTTCTAGACTTGGTTTCTTCATTTGTAAACTGGAGAAGCCTAGCCTAAATAAAGAATCCACAGGATTATTTCAACTGGGAGGCAGGGATTTTTGTGCTCGTGTCAGTAGGCTGTGCTATCACCTTTGAAAAACTGCCTTGCTGAAGAGCTTGGCTACTTTCTGAACCTGAGGTGAGAAGCATGTGTAAGTGGAATGTGTATTGCCTTTCCCCATTATCTCATCATTTAGTCACAGTTTTGTCCAAGTACAGAGTAAGCCAGGAGCCTTAAAAGTACTTAGAGAAACAAAAATGGTAGGCTAGACCAAGTAATGAAGAGTATGCATTTTGCTTGCACTTAGGGAATTAATAACTCCACTTCCTGCCTGTTCCCATTCACTGCATTCTTAGTGCCAAAATGCTTACTTCAACTTTTACTATCTGTGACAGGCATACATTAGAGGAACCTTCACTTCCTAAAATAGATAGGCAGCTCAAATGAGGTGGTTTTGGCCCCACATGCTAGGTGATTTTGTGAGCTGCTTTTTGAAGATTCATTTCTCTTTCTTCTCTAGCCATTTTTTATGTAGAGTTGGTATAGATTTGAATGATGTCTGTATAACGAAGTAGCAAAATTCAGTGAGGTTTATGCTCATAATCAATGAGATTTTAATGGAAAGAAGTCATTGATTATTAGATTTGGAAAAAGCCATGGGATTTTTTTAGGGTGTGTGTGGGTGGGGAGGGTGCCCATTTATTTAGTTATTTTATGAATGAAAAGTTAAGTGGCTTGCCCAACATCATATTTCACAGTGTTGGTTCATTAACAGGATCCAAACTCCAGGTCTCCCAAATCCTATTCCAGCATTCCTTCTTCTAAAGCCATTCTACTTCAGCCATTCTGAGGTGGCTCAATCTGTTAGCAAAGTGAAACTGCCACGCGTTGCTAATAATACAAAGCTCCCTTATTTCAGTTGCTTTTCAGGTGCCAAGAATTCACCAAGCATTTGACTAGAAAAGATATACCAGCTGTATTTACTTTTGACTTGTTTGCAACATTTCATTTGTACCCAGCTCCAGCAGAGCTTACGGATGTTGTTAATGAATGGTTAAGTATATATATATGTGTGTGTTCTTGACCCTTAGTACTTTCAGTTTTTTTTGAGACTCCATATTTTATAATCACATATTATAGAAGACAACCAGGCATGGAGATGAATAGGGGAAAATAAATTTAGTTTGTCTTACTGCCTGAAAAGCTGCCCTCTCAACCTTCTAGAGACAAGATTGAAAGCATTGTACTCAAAACTGAGAGGGCGAAGGGCCTCTTGCTTGCCATCACTTTGCTGCTTCCCAAGAATGAGTGCGAAGATTTCCTCATGGCACCAGCGAAAGCATTTGTGTCAGAAGTATTTAGTGATCCCTTCTTTGTGCCAGGTGCAGTCCTAGGTGGTTGAGTGTGTATTGTTGAACTGCAGAACTTGGGCCTGTCCTCTAAGAGCTCTTGGTTTAGCAGGGGTAGCCACCTGTAAGCAAAACAATCTATAAATAAAAATGGTGAGAAGGTCTGCGAAAGAAAAGTTCAGAGTAGTGTGATAAGGAATAGTAGGGATGGAGGCCTGCTTTGGTTTAGTGATCTAGGCAAAGCTTGTGAGGAGCGCTATTTAAACTGAAACCCAAAGAAGAGCCAGCCCTGTAAGGAGTCTGGGTTGTAGAATGTGAGTTCTAGGCAGAGAGAACAAGTTCAAAGGCCCTAAGGTTGAAAAAATAAAGTTGGGGCTGTTTTGGGAACTGAAAGACTAACATGAGGGAGGGGAAGGAAGGATATGAGATGGGGATGGAAAAGCAGACAGGAACCAGGTCATGAGTAATCAGTATATTTGTCTGTATTGAATTATTTCCTTGTTGGAAGATCATTTGCTTTGTATTGAGACCTGTGTGGCATTCTGTGTATTAGAGATAGGTGAACTTTAGTTTGATTATCCCAGTCTTGAAAGTAACCCAGATGGGGTAGCAGAGAAGCAGGTTATGAGCCTACCTCATAACACTAAAGGCTTTCTAGCGTTCCCTACGTTTTAGCAATTCTAAAAGTCACAAAACACCACTTCTCTGGCTTAGCCCCAGTTTGCAGAACAGCTGGACCTCTGTCCCACCACAGTCCTCTAAGCCACTTTGGGAAGTCCCCTGATCACACCTCGTACATTCCCCCTACTGCCAGGTGGCCCCTGTGGTGTCATATTCTTTTCCCCTGACAGGTGGGCCCTGTGAGTCCCCAGTTCCCAATTGACCCCCCCTGGTGTGGGCTGGGCTGGCTCACTGCTTATGCCACTGTTGGCCTTTGTTACTGCTAGTTCTTGCTTTCTGATAAGCAGTATCTTTCTCTGTCCTTTTCTAATCTCTGCTCCAGCATTCCCCAACAGTTTTTTTTTTTTTTTTTTTGCTGAAGTAAGGAGAATATTTCACTTGTGTAACCAGTTCACAAAGGAGTGTTGACTTTATGTTCCCTGTCTGTTACAGGTATTGTGGTGCTACAAAGCCCCTGCTTTTATTACTGTTTCTTTATTCTTTAAACTCAATTTGAATGGGGGCTGAGAAATGGGCTGAGAAGTACTCCTGGTTCCTGATTTAGAATCTTCCATCCCCCATTTGGAGGGAAGATTCAGCCCTTTTCTTCTTGTGTATCTTGCTTAGGAAGCATTTCTCCCTAGAAGGCATTTTCATCTTTCTCACCTTCATCCCCAAACTCCATTTTCTTCCTGAGGGAGGTTAGATATGACTGAACCTGAGAATCACAAAACTTAGACTCTCAAGCTAGGATTTTGACTCTGACCCCAAACCTTGGGGACAAATGTGTTTTAGAATTTATAACTTCTGGGTTTTAGAATGGAAATATGGCATGCTACTTTAGCATTTTGTAATCAGATACTATTTCTAAAGCAAACATATGAATATTCATACTACGTGGGATAAACAAAGAATATAAGTGGTCTCGTGTCAGTTCAGGTTTTACTTCTAAAGAGATTTGCCATAAACTTAGAAAAAGTGTTCAGTCTTTAGACTGATTTTTGAAGTTGCATATAAAGGATTATGAACCTGTGTTCTTGTGTGTGTGCATACATATATGTGTATATGTGGACATGGTAGTTAGAATTTCTAGGCTAAATCTGAAGGTATCATAAAAACTCATTTAAAATAAAGTATTAGCTTCCCTACTCCCCTGCCAATTCATCTATTAGAGTTAATGTGATTTCTGTCCTTCCTCCACGCCTGGGGGAGCTATCATGAATGAATTTGATGACATGGAAGAGTATATTGGTTCAGCATAAGTTCTCCGTCCCAGTACGGCTACACCATCTGGGATGGACAGATGGACATGCCACAGGAAGACAGCAGGAACCTATAGCAGCTGCTGTTCAGAGAGATCAGACACTCTTAGAAATCCCTGCAACTTGACTATGAGCTGCACTGTGGGTGCCTAGTATGTGACCTCTGCTCACTGAGGTGACTCACGTGCAGCCTGAAGAATAAAATGCTCTTTTAAGCCAAAACTACAGGCCAAAGTTAAAAACACCAGCTGCTACAGATGCTGCATAGAGGCGCCTCTGCACACTGATATAGTTGATTCCTTCTTACCCTTTTAAACTCCTTCTTTCTCAGTATGTAGTGTTAGAATGAAAATGACAGTGGATTCATATGTCGGATCTGTCAGTCTGTGTTTACACATATACTTTGCAATACACAGTATAAGAAAACACAAGCAGAAAATGAGGTTCATGCCAGTCAAGTAAGCATTTTCTTCTGTAAGATGCTAATTCTTGATCCTTTCAACAAGAAAATGTGATACTTAATCTTCCATCCTTGAACTTCTTATGCAGAAGTACTCAAAGTGGAAAGTGAAATTGGTATGTTTTCACTGTTCTTAGAATTTTTTGAACAGTAGCTTGAAAGCTTTAATTTTACTCTATTCACCATTGTTTACATTCTAGAAAATGAAGAAGTCAAGGAAACGACTTTACGAGAGCTTAAAATGCTTCGTACTCTCAAGCAGGAAAACATCGTGGAGCTGAAGGAAGCCTTTCGTCGGAGGGGGAAATTATACTTGGTGTTTGAGTATGTTGAAAAAGTAAGTAACTAATTGATAGTATGGAGATTTGCCTGATTCTTCTTTTTTTTTTTTTTAACTTTTATTTTATTTTTTAAAGTAATCTCTATACCCAGCGTGTGGCTCAAACTCATGACCCTGAGATCAACAGTCGCATGCTCTACCTCCTGAGCGAGCCAGGCGCCTCTGCCTGATTCTTTTATTTCGGGTTGTTTCTGACAGTATTCAAGGAGGCGTTATTATCTAGTGTGTTTTGTCAATGTACTCAAAATCTCAGTATTTTAAAAATGAAGTTATTATCCATAATCATTAGAAGCCCTGAAATATATTGAAGTATTTTGTGCAATTTAACTATACAGAGATCATCCTACATTTTTCTTTTTTTTTTTTTTTTAAGATTTTATTTATTTATTTGACAGAGATTGCGAGAGCACAAGCAGGGGGAACAGTAGAGGGAGAGGGAGAAGCAGGCTCCCTGCCAAGCAGGGAGCCTGATGCTGGTCTCGATCCCAGGACCCTGGGACCATGACCTGAGCCGAAGGCAGATGCTTAACGACTGAGCCACCCAGGCACCCCTCATCTTACATTTCAACGGTGAATTAGTTTGGCTTCTGATGTTTTAGAATCTGTGTTCAACAATTAATTTTTTGGGCTTGGTTTATTTATTTATTTATTTATTTAAAAAGATTTTATTTATTTATTTGAGAGAGAGAATGAGACAGCGAGAGAGCATGAGAGGGGGGAGGATCAGAGGGAGAAGCAGACTCCCTGCTGAGCAGGGAGTCCGATGTGGGACTCGATCCCGGGACCCCAGGATCATGACCTGAGCCGAAGGCAGTCGCTTAACCAACTGAGCCACCCAGGCGCCCCGGGCTTGGTTTATTTAAATTAAACCTAGGCAAGGCCTCTGAGGGAGAGACAAGTAAATTGACAGTGATGACATAGGATGTCAGAGGTATGTAAGGCAGCCTGCAAGCATAGGATGGCTGCCTAAATCAGACCTAGAGTGGCAAATGAGTGGGCTCATGGAGCAACCTTTTGTGAATTGCCAGTGCTTTGGCTTTAAGGGAAGAAGATGTACCAGGAGGCATAAGGTGAGGCTTGAGGAGATAGATGAGGCCACAAATAAGGAATTGGAAGCATGGGAGGAGAGTGGAAAAGTATACACAGTTCAGATTGTCTGCATATTTGCTTTAGTATTTTTTTTTTTTAATTGGTAACTCTTAGTGACAATTTTAATGTTGTGTGGCCCAGGGGCAAGTGTATGCTACAGTAATCAATATGTGTGTCTTTGAATTTCTTTGAGGGCAGCTGCCCTGCAGTGCTTGGTTATTGTCCAAAACTGAAATAATTACCTTAACAAGAGTAGAATAAACTGGAGCCAGATGGACCTTTTAGAGGTTTTCTTGATGAATAAATATGTGGCTCCTGATTTCCTGTTATTATCAAAACAACAGTAAAAATGATTACTTTTATTAAATTTCACTTCTTGAATACATGTCTCTGTAGGACTCTACATGATAAAATGAGGAATTTCTAAATTATAAAATGAGGCTTTCTAAAGAAGGTGAAGACTGGGGAGGTTATGTTTGCCAGCTGCTTTCTGTTGCATAAATGACAGTGTCCCACCACCATCATCATTACAAAATAGAAAGCAGTGTTGCCAAGGTGATGGACCAGGAATGTGGCTTTTGATTTAATTCAGCCTTTGCAAATTATTTTTCTAATGAAAATAGACATAGTAACTTCATTTCAAGCAAATCTTGAAGAGTATTATAAGTTTCTTTGTCATTTTAAAACACTTTATGTTTCTTTTACAAAATCTGCTTAAAGGTTTCTTTTTCTTTTCCTTTCTTCTTTCTCTCTCTTTTTTAAACGAAGACAGATCTTTATTTTTTTGACAGGGTGAGGAGGGGAAAAGGGAGAGGGAGAATCCCAGGCAGGCTCCATGCCCAGCGTGGAGCCTGACACAGGGCTTGATCCTACAGCCCTGAGACCATGACCTGAGCCGAAATCAAGAGTTGGACGCCTAACCAACTGAGCCACCCAGGCGCCCCTTAAGGTTTCTTTTCCTGTATCAATTTAGGAGTTTTCCTAAGGGAATTTCCCCACCAAAATTAAACTGAAATTTGATACTTATTAAAAAGTTATAAAAAAGGATTGCTGTAAAAATCAGAAGCTCTGGGGCACCTGGGTGGCTCAGTCGTTAAGCGTCTGCCTTCGGCTCAGGTCATGATCCCAGGGTCCTGGGCTCGAGCCCCACATCGGGCTCCTTGCTCAGTGGGAAGCCTGCTTCTCCCTCTCCCACTCCCCCGCTTGTGTTCCCCCTCTCACTGTCTCTCTCTCTGTCAAAAAATAAATAAAGTCTTAAAAAAAAAAAAATCAGAAGCTCTTTATATTATTTTTTAGTTGTCAAGAATAAAACCTAGGTTGCTTCTGCCTTTCTGCTCTACCACCCCTGAGATGTGGCCCTTGTTCTCAAGGTCAGGATCAGGCTCCAGCTATCACATCCCATTGGCCAGAACTTAGTTTCATGGCCACCCTAGCTGCAAGGCAGAGGGGAAATGTACTCTTCATTCTGAGCACCTATGCATCCACTTACAAATTGTATTACTGTGGGCTAAAGGAAGAATGGGTATCGAGGGGCATTCTTCTCTGCCACTGATGAATTTAGAGTGTAATGGGAAATGAGACATACAGTTTATTTTCTATATTGCAAAACCTTCTTATTCCTCGTGTACATTTGGGACCTCCTATGCATTTGTTAATTGAAAAAGGCAATTTAAGTGGAGAATCATTAAAAAATGATGCATACATAGTTCAAACATTTTAACTTAAAATATATCACTATATATTCATTTACTACTCTTTAGAGGTAGGGTCAAGGCCTTTTGAGTATCTGTCTTCTGATTGTTCTGATGAGTCTTTCTTAAATACATCATATTCACAGTGCATCAACTATGATAGCCTGTGAGAGCATCTTTAAAGTGAAGTGAAAGCTTAAAAACATAGTAAAGCAGTCTCAGTGCAGAATCCTTATCACCATCACCACCTGTCCCCTGGCAGCGTTTTGTAGTTTTTGCACTCACATTTGATTAGGCAGCAGTATGTTTAGTGGTTTTCCTTTATGAAGTCTTTCCAAAGTATTAAACTTTGTTTTCTTATAAACAGCAACTCTTTTTATTTAAAACATTATTTCATTGGTTTATATGATATTTAATTGTATTAAAATAACAAGTGCATCTGTTATAAATAGGTATGAGAGTGTTATAAACAAACAACTGATTGTATATACGCAGCTCAACTGGTGGGAACACAATTGTGAGGTTGTATTAGAGCCAGCAGGTCTTCTAACTTTTTGGTCTTACGACTCCTATACTCTTAACTGGAAACCTAAGAGCTTATTATTTATGTGGGTTTTATCTATTAATATTATATTATGAGTCAAAACTGAGCAATATAAATTATTAATGCATTTAAGAGTAACGATAATAATCCCATTACATGCTAATATAAATATGGTTGTGGGTCATTCTTTCAAGTAAGAAATGGTGTTCTACCAAAAACAAGCAGGTAGTTCAGCTTGCAACTCACTCAAGTGATTTTCTTCAAGACAACCATCTTGCTTTGTTATGTAACAGAAGTGCTTTATGTGTATTCTTCATTTTATCATATAGATTCCTAAAAAGACATGTACTCGAAAGTTGAAATTTAATACAAGCAATAATTTTTACTGCTTCATCAAAGAAAGACATCCTTAACTAAAACGGGCTTTTTGTCTTTTTTTTTTTTTTTTAACTGCGAGAGTGTAACATTGAAGAATCCAATGCCTTGATTTATGCTAAGGTGCCACCAGTTCACCCATCCTTGCTTTGAGTCATCAGTGTAAATACAAACATAGGGAAAGAGTCAACGAGCTGAGTGTTGCTATGAATATAGTTTTGACTTTATGGGCCTTCTGTAAGATCTGGTAACCACCCCTGAGAGATCCACAGATCATGCTTTGAGACCTGCTTTCCTAGATGGTCGTCTACAAACAATAAACTCTAATCATGCTGTGGACCTTAGTGTTGTACTTTACAGAGGGAATGGAAAATGTGTGGTTAATCTGGAAATTCAGTGGAGACTGGCTGAGTGGAGTTGCCACTTAATAAAAAATTTTACATGAATTTTAGAATTGTCTCTGACTCCAGACTAAGAGTTTCAAAACTTGATTTATTGGGAGTCTGTCATTCTTTTTTTTTTTTTTTTTAAGATTTTTTATTTATTTATTTGAGACAGAGAGAATGAGAGACAGAGAGCATGAGAGGGGGAGGATCAGAGGGAGAAGCAGACTCCCTGCCGAGCAGGGAGCCCGATGTGGGACTCGATCCCGGGACTCCAGGATCATGACCTGAGCCGAAGGCAGTTGCTTAACCAACTGAGCCACCCAGGCGCCCGGGAGTCTGTCATTCTTTATTTCACCAACATTTTCTGACCTGTCTTAATTTTTGTATTGATTGCATGGATCACTTCTAATCTTAGGGATCATTTTCTTTTAAGAATATTTCCCAGGTCTCGGGCGCCTGGGTGGCTCAGTTGGTTAAGCGACTGCCTTCGGCTCAGGTCATGATCCTGGAGTCCCGGGATCGAGTCCCACATCGGGCTCCCTGCTCGGCAGGGAGTCTGCTTCTCCCTCTGATCCTCCCCCTCTCATGCTCTCTGTCTCTCATTCTCTCTGTCTCAAATAAATAAATAAAATCTTAAAAAAAAAAAAAAAAAAAGAATATTTCCCAGGTCTCCCAGAAATATTTTCAAGGCTTGATTTTATTGCAGGGTTCTATTAAACATGCATAGTGGGATGTGTTAAAATGACTGTTTCCCCCCTCCTTTATACATTACAGCATCTTGTCTCTACTTTGTATTGCTTTTCCCTTGAAAGTATTCTAAAGTGATGCCTGAAAGGTTTTAGGGAGAGTGGAAAGTGCCAGGGTTATTATTTGGGGCATCACTGGGGAGTAGTAAAAATGGAATTTCTCTTAAAAGAGAACTTTGATTTAATACAGTATCCTGCTTCTGCATGAAAAAGATAGTAGATGGAAAACAAAACAGTTTTTAAAAATGCATGCTGTATATTGGGTGAATTATCATCTAAGATGCTTTCTTAAGTTGTTAATACATGATTTATGGGTCTGCCTAATTTGTGGAGATTAATGGCTCCCTATTTAATTTTTAGAATATGCTTGAATTGCTGGAAGAAATGCCAAATGGAGTTCCACCTGAAAAAGTTAAAAGTTACATCTATCAGCTAATCAAAGCTATTCACTGGTGCCATAAGAATGATATTGTCCATAGAGGTAAGTATGGAATTTTTGAAATGGAAAATATTAAGAAAACATCAGAGTTAACAATGAAATATTTTACATATTACTGTCTTAAGAGTATTTCCATGGGCACTGACGTTCCATTTAAATTAAATACATTTTGAAAGTACAGGATATGAGATGTCGTTCACCTTCCAAGTCTCCTTTTGGATCACCAAAAAGATGGACTGCAAATTTATTTTGATATTATGGTGAGATATCTGTTTGTATAACCAGATCTATTCTCAACTTTAGAAATGCCTAGGGATATAAAGAACTCAACAAATAGGAACTTTGAAGCTTACTTTGGGCAAAAAGAGCAAAGGGATGTTCTCTGTTGCCTTTTGGTCCTACTGGTAGACCAGAAAATGTGAAACCACCCAGAATAAGGCTTTAAACGTGGTCACTGACCCCCATTGACAGTCACCTCTCATTCCCTGTTAGACCAACCACCTCTGGTATATACCCTTCACTTCCTGAATTTCCCTATCCATTAGTGAAAAGTGCCCATTGCAAGTTGTAGGCATGATCAACCTTGCATAAAGGTAATGAGTTGGCTTCCGTAAACTGTTTTATTGCTATGAGGTGGGTGGTTTATAATAATAAAAGGGAAACTACTTTCTCAGTACCATCTTTGACTCTACACTGTTTGTCTTCTCCTGATAATCTCTCTTGAATTCCAGAGTTTTACAGTAATGGGACACACTGATAAAATAATGAAGCCAGAAGATGTTTATCAGAAAGTCTTGCAATATCTACTTCTTGTCTCTGAATTATCAGATAAATGAATACTACATTTTAATTTACCTATACAAACACACAAGCATATCACTTTAAAAATAGTCTCACTTTAAGAATAGCTTAAAGGTCATGTGAAGAATGCCAACTCCTATTATATCTAGAAAAAGACATTTTATATTTCTCTTGGATTTGACTTTCATACTAGTTACCTCATCAAGGTTTTTGGTGGTATAGATAGATCTCCAAGTCAACTGCATATCTATCTAGTGTCTAGGGTAATGATTCTAATAATAGTCTAATACTACAATATTAGGCTATTAATAAGGAACTGATTTAGCTTCATTTCTATAGTGATGCTGTGATTTGGTTAAGTATATAGTAATAAATCAATGGTTGTGAATTAGCAGTAGAAACCATGATTCTGAAATCTACAGATTTTGCTCCTATTGCTTCCCTTTTTCCATTTTCACCTCTGCCATCTGATATAGATGATGGGTACTCTAAAAATAAAATTGTGAGATCTCCCAAGGCAGGAATTACATAGCATTTTCTGTATATTTCTACTCAGCTCTCACCACATCTTTTGAAGATCCATGGAAAAAATGAGAAATGTTTTCTTGATTCATGCAGGATAACTTCAGCATTAGATATTTATAATTGTGAACCACACAGAAAAGCTAAAGAGATATGTAAATGTGGACATTATATACAAAATCACAACAAATTCTATCGTTTTATATAGTTTTTCCTCTAGTAAATATAATGCTAGCTACTTATATGTGTTTTTTTTTTTTTAAAGGTGGCAATCTTTTTTATTTATTTTTAAATTTTTTTAAAGATTTAAAGAGAGAGACACAGCGAGAGAGGGAACACAAGCAGGGGGAGTGGGAGAGGGAGAAGCAGACTCCCCACGGAGCAGGGAGCCCGATGCAGGGCTTGATCCCAGGACCCTGGGATCATGACCTGAGCCGAAGGCAGACGCTGAACCACTGAGCCACCCAGGCGCCCCTACTTATATGTGTTTTTAAAGTATCTGGGGGGGCGCCTGGGTGGCTCAGTCAGTTAAACAGCTGCCTTCGGCTCAGGTCATGATCCTGGGGTCTTGGGATCGAGCCCCACATCCGGCTCCCTGCTCAGCGGAGAGCCTGCTTCTCCCTCTCCATCTGCCTGCCACTCTGCCTACTTGTGCTCTCTCTCTCTCTGTCAAATAAATAAATAAAATCTTTAAAATAAAATAAAATAAAATAAAGTATCTTGTGGGTGTGAACATTTCTTTTGATATTCTATCTCCAAAAATTTATGTTCTTACTACTTTATAAAGTAGAATAGTTCCTTGAAACGTGGTGGCCTAGACTCAGTGATTCTTAAATTCCTTTCAGAGATCGCATTTATACCTTTAAGATTTGAAGAGAAAAATATTTTTTAAATTGTGGGTTTTCATGTTTCTCAAAAAGAAATTAGTTGAAACTTTTATGTATCAGCAAAAAAGGTGTTACCCTGCTTTTCACTGCCACAGTTTCTATTCACATTACCGTGGATATTTCTAATTAGGTACCATTATAGTGATCCAATAGTGTCAGTCAGCAGTCCATGGAACATTTTTTAATAATTGGTTTTTTTTGTCTTTATACTTCAGATATAAAGCCAGAAAATCTCTTAATCAGCCACAATGATGTTTTGAAACTGTGTGATTTTGGTAAGTTAAAAAAGAAATTGAGCCCTGTAAGTAGAATTAATTTAATATAACATATAGGTAGCTTTTAAAGGCTTATTAAAAGTATTTTTTTATGTTTTGACTTCAATTAGCAGAGGAATATTCTATTGGGTCATATGTTGAAAAATTGATTGCTGGGAAAATACTCTCTTTGCATAGTGTTGTCTATTCTTTTTTAAAAATTCATAATGCAGTATTTGTTCAATGAGAACACAAAGCAAATAGATGCACGTGCATATATTCATAAACCCAGTACTTAATGATTCCAAAAAACCAATTTTCTATGAAATCCACTATGCCTTCTGTTTTGGGTAGGATAAAAGAAATATTTTTAAAGTATTAAAGTAGAAATTATTTTAGGTATAATCATAAGCACTAACAATATGCATAGGTAGATACATATGTATCATGTATATGCAATAGTTACATATCTATAAAGGTCAAAGACATTTTTAGAACAATTCCATTTATTCCCTTTAAATGTTCAATGAATGAGATTAGTAATTGATGTGTAATATTCCAGCTCCTGGTTGAGTGTATAAGGAAGCTTTTGAATTGTACTCTCTCCTAGTAGAAAATTGTGCATTCTTTTCCATATATATGAAACTGTATTAAGTGCTATTAAAAATTTGAGTTAAAATAATTCAAAAAAGTTTTAAAACTATAAATTAGGGTGTTTAAGTTCTGGGTCACCTTAAAAAAATCTTTTGTCTAATGCATATGCTGAAAAATAACAACTTGATTTTTTTTTAATGTTTTTTCACACATTCAAGTATAATCATAAATATAATGTAAACCTCTACATATAAGTGAGAATTCATCTCCTTTCATAAGCATAGGTTAGATTAGTACCTCGGAGGTGGATCGAATAAATGAGAAATAGAAGCATTCTAAGAATGCACTGTGTGAATGACTAGTTTTCTCCAGTGTAGCTATTAGAAGCATGTGTAACTGTTTTCACTCAGTGTTTGCAAAGAATTTGAATATTATAAACCTGCTTGCCTGAGGAAAAATGTTTTATAATAAGGGCTTAAATTTTTTCATACTTTATAAAGAATATTGCAAAGAAGAGTCCTGCTATATGTTAAACATCTTATGAAGTGCTTAGAAGAATAAAAAAGAAACACCAAAATACAGTTATTTAAAAGATTTTGACCTTGACATTTTTAGCACTTTCTTAGTATTATGATTTTCAGGAATATTTCTGGTTCTATTTCTCACTTTCTATCCATAATTGTGACTACCATCAAATACTGAGATTTTATGCACCTCATATGCCCTTTACTATGCATCCATGATTCTATGGGTTGGTGATTTGCTTAAACCCCCAAATTACTGAAATTTGTAAACAAGTTATAAATACAAAAGAGATGCCTATAGAATGGTTAATAATAGGAAAAGGGTATCCCTGGCCTGGCATCATTTCTTTTCTCTTTTTTATTTTTATTTTTTAAAGATTTGTTTATTTATTTTAGGGAAGGAGGGAGAGAGAGAGAGAGTGTGTGGGGGGGGGCGGCGCAAAGGGAGAGGGAGAGAGAATGCTCAAGCAGACTTCCCGTTGCGCACGGAGCCGGACTCAGGGCTTGATCCCAGGACCCTGAGATCATGACCTGAGCCGAAATCAAGAGTCGGACACTTAACCAAATGAGCCATCCAGGCACCCCCTGGCATCATTTCTTAAAGGAAAGACAATTTGAAGTGGTAAGGAAATTTCACATGGCTGCACTGCATGTGGTTCTCTATGTCCTACGTGTCCCCAGTGAACACTTCTCAACTGCTTTCCTTCCCAGAGCACTGGGCTCCTTTGTCTAGCTTGAAGAATCCCATTTGAAAATAGGAATATTTCTTCTAAATATGTCTTATGAAGAAGCGTTGATTAACTGACGTTAGGGCTTTGTTTTTTGCTGTGGTTGTTTTTATTTTTTACTGTTACACTGTTTTCTACTTTTCAAAACTGACACCTTAATTTTTACCCCTAATTTTAATGTTCTGGTTCTCTGTGACTATCCATAATGCTTTTGGTGAGTTAGGTGGCTTATTTTTTGGCCCCAAAACCTTCTGAAAGGGTTTGGAGGGAAAATAATTATTGATAGAGTCTGTAAGTAATTAAGATACCCCTAATATGCTTCTCAGTCACATTAGGAGATTAAAATAATTTTGGCCTGCTTAGTTTCCATCATTGCCAACCATTAGTTGTCTATATAATGGCTAGAACTGATCAGCAACAGTAGATCTACGAATAGTAATGTTAAGTCCCACATATCAGAATATAATGACTAGCTCAGTTGGTTGAGTGTCTGCCTTCCACTCGGATCATGATCTCGTGGTCCTGGGATCGTGTCCCCCGTCGGGCTCCCTGCTCAGTGGGGAGTCTGCTTTTCCCTCTCCCTCTGTGATCTCTCTCTCAAGTAAACAAATAAAAAATCTTTGGGCGAAAAAAAAGAATATAATGACCATCTGTGACAGGGTATTTTAGCTTTAACTTGGGCTCTTGTAGGGACTTCATTTTGGTCCTAAGATTTGCATTTATTGAGAGAGCTGACTTAGAAGTATGCTCTGAATGCTTATAAAAGCATGTGATAACTTGAAAAATATGGATTTCTTTAGTATAGGAGGAGACTGGTTTTTTTAGTGAGTACACTGTATATTTTAATTGACATATGAATGGACTAATGTTTTAAAATAACGAAGGCACCATTAATAAACAGCCCATTCAGTACCAGTTATTATGTTCTTTTGATGTTCCTTTAAAATATTACTAGCACTGAAATACTTTGCCAACATGAAGTTATTATTTCTTTTTCAAAGTTACACCTTTGGGTTTTTCTGTCTTTCAGGTTTTGCTCGGAATCTATCAGAAGGCAATAATGCTAATTATACAGAATATGTGGCCACCAGGTGGTATCGGTCCCCAGAACTCTTACTTGGGTAAGTTACCTTCCCCAGATAAAATGACTTTTATATATCTGCTGATCGTGTATCATTAGCTTTGGGATCATCTATGAAAGATAAGAACTTTAGTTAATTAAATACCAGTTACCTATTGCAGTGTAACAAACCACTCAAACACTTAATGGTATAAAACAAACACCATTTTATTTGCTCACAGTTCTGGGTACCAGTGATTTGGGGGAGTCAGTAATTGAAGTTCAGCTGGATTGTTCTTCTGCTGGTCTCAGTGGGAATCACTCAGGTAGCAACAGTCACTCAGCAGATCATTTGGAGGCTGGCTGGTTTACGAGGCCTCAGCTGGGACAGACCATCTCTGTTCCATGGAGACTCATCCTCCAGTGGGCCAGTCCAAGTTGCTTCATGTGATAACTGAAAACTTCCCTGCAGCAAGAGGGCAAGCCTCAAAGCAAAGGTGGTTTTGAAGCCTCTGTTTGCATGGCTTTTGCCTCATTGGCCGAAACCTGTTACATGGCCAAGTCCTGATTCAAGGGATAAAGAAATAAACTCGACCTCTTATTGGGAGGACTGGCCTACCTGTTGGTTCGTTCGTTCATTCATTCATTCAACAAACAGTAATCAAGTATCTCTTATACCTGACCACTTTGCTAGAAACATGATGTAAATATTGAAGCAGTTGCCAATTTTCTTCTGAATAGAGAAATCCTGTTTGATGATAAATGGCTATTCAAACACACTGCATTGATAATTTTCTCAGCAACATCATATCCATCCACTTTGTGCCCACCCTTCCACTTTCAGTGCTCTTTCATTCATCTGTTAACCCCAGAAAAGGGTTTTCTGATAAGATTCTTCTTTTCTTTTTAGTAACTTGAGAGCCTAGGAAGGAGCCTCTCCTCCTGAACTCAATCACATAGTTATATGAATAATCCTCTACTTACCTTAGTGGTAGTATTTTCTTATTTTCCCTACATTGTATTTCCTTCTTGGGGACCATCCAAGAATGGAGAAAGAAGGCACATTCTGCAAATAAAATGAGATGTGGTGATGATGACTGGTGCTCTAATTACAGGTTTCATCTTTTTAGTGTGCCATATATATATCTGGGGGACATGAGAAATTTAATTTTTAAAGGTTTTATTTATTTGTTCATTTTAGAAAGAGAACTTGAGTGGGTGGAGGAGCAGAGGAAGAGGGAGAGAGAGAATCTCAAGTAGACTCTGTGCTGAGTGTAGAGCCTCACGCGAGGCTTGATTCCACAACCTGGAGATCATGGCCTGAGCTGAAATCTGGAGTCAGACACTCAACCCACTGAGCCACCCAGGCACCCCGAGAAATTGAATTTTTAAAAGATACTTTTTATATAGTAGGAATACAAATTTCTGTGTTTCTTTTGTTGACGATCATGATGACTATATGTGTAAGTTACTGAGGGTTTATTTTGATAGATTGTAATTCTTTTTTTTTTTTTTAAGATTTATTTATTTATTTATTTATTTGACAGAGAGAGACACAGCGAGAGAGGGGACACAAGCAGGGGGAGTGGGAGAGGGAGAAGCAGGCTTCCCGCGGAGCAGGGAGCCCGATGCGGGGCTCGATCCCTGGACCCTGGGATCATGACCTGAGCCGAAGGCAGACGCTTAATGACTGAGCCACCCAGGTGTCCCAATAGATTGTAATTCTTGATTCATTGCTGACATAGAGCATATAAGAATTATTGATACCAGGGGCGCCTGAGTGGCTCAGTCGTTAAGCGTCTGCCTTCAGCTCAGGTCATGATCCCAGGGTCTTGGGATCAAGCCCCTCAGCGGGCTCCCTGCTCAGCGGGAAGCCTGCTTCTCCCTCTCCCACTCCCTCTGCTTGTGTCCCCTCTCTCACTGTGTCTCTGTCAAATAAATAAATAAAATCTTTAAAAAAAAAAAAAAAGAATTATTGATACCAGTTACTGAAAGCTTTACTTTTTTTTTTAAATCAAAAGCTTGGTTTATCTTGGGAAACAAATGGTGGTTAGTCACTTCATTATTTCTCTTTGTGTGGATAGATTTTAGAATTTCTGTGCTAATTTTTAAATTTGGTTTTAGGATTGATTTTCTTTTGTGTTTGTCTTTGTTTCTTTTTCTGTGTACCTCTGTCTGGACTTAATGGGATGCATAATCCATTTTCTTTTGGGAAGGATTGGAATTTGAGTTTACTGGACAGATTTACCAAAGAAGAAATGAGTATGAAGTAGGTCATTCTTAGAACACCATCCGAGGATTCAAGTATGGTAGAGGACTTTTTATGATAGGTTTTGTCTATATGATGGCCCCAAGGAGTTCATTCTGAGGACACCCTTATTATAGACCTTCAGAGAGTATTTGCTGCCTAATAATACCTGTCAGGAAGCTGCAGTTATGTTTAGAGATGTGTGGGAGCTACCAAAAGTAGATGGGGACTCCAATTAATTTGAGCCAAATTATATATTGCTAATTAAACGATTGTCAAATACTAGTTGAAGAACCGTATTATTCGTGTAAAAATCCCATTGACATCAGTTGATAGTTGGTTAATATTAAGAATTTACATTTTTGTACATTCTTAAGACTTTGTTCTTGACATTCAAAATAATTCCAGCTGCATAAATTATTCACATCCGTTGACAGAAGAAAAATAGCGCAATTTGGGTATGTAGAGATTTTCCATAAGTTTCTCTATCTAGCACAAGTTTTTTCTTCTGTACAGATATTAAAGAAAGATCGGTATCCTTCCCTCCCCAACAAGCTACCAAAAAAAAATTTACATGAAGTTTCCTAATATGGTCCTTAGGTTTTTGTGGGAAGGAAATGAGATAAAGAAAATACTGACTTTCAGTTGTAATGACTTATTGTCCTAGAAACATATTCTGTATAGTGTTAACAGTGCTTTAATTTAGAGTGTCTGTTAAAAGTTTTGTATTCCTGCTGTATCATTATGGCATTCTAGAATTTCATCCCGTATTTTTTTCAGATACTTTATTTTGTCTTACCTTCGTTTAACTTTTTTTTTTTTTTTAATTTCTTTAGATAAAGAAAGACAGTATGAGCAGGGGGAAGGGGTACAGGGAGGGAGAGAGAGAATCTTAAGCAGGCTCCATGCATGGAGCCTGATGTGGGGCTCGATCCCACAACCCCGAGATCATGACCTGAGCCAAAACCAAGAGTCAGACACACAACCGACTGAGCCACCCAGGCACCCCTGGCTTTCCTTTGTTAAAACTTGGATTATTTGTGTTTGAAACTAAAGAAAATACGGTTTCTTAATCTGCCACATATAATTTGATTTAAGACTATAGATATTGGGGCATACATATAAAGCTGTTTTTGGAGTACTTAGGTTTTCACTTACAGCCTCCATTTATTAATAACAGTAATAATCCTAAAGCCCTCTGGTAAACTCAGATCCTAGAGGGGAACTGTAAACCCCTAAGGAAATGGAAAAACCATGCTTTGAGGCAAATAGTTATCATAAAGCTCCATATACACAGGGTACAAATAATTTTAGGTAAATAATGCAGTAGAGCTTAGCCCACTCTTAGGTATTAGAAATTGTGATTCTATGCAATCAGAAGTTAAATAGTACTCAGTGTTTATTGTTTAAGAAGACACGTGAGTCGGTAGTACATTTTAATAGACTGATCTCAAAAAATGGATGAGGTATATAACTTTTTGACATTTCAAGAGCTAAAGGATAATTACCTAGAAAATGCATTTCTTGGAAGCATTTGATTTTCTAAGTGAAGTGTTAACTCATCAGACATGTGCACTGTTTTAGGGTTTATTAAGCCATTCATGTTCAAGATATGCCTAGATATGAATAGATTTCAACTTAGTGTATACCAACTAAATTATTATTAAACTGATGGTTTTACTAGCATAGATTTATTTACTTGTGCTCTGAATTTTTACTTGGATATCCGTAATTCCTTTTTTTCAGCCTCATTTTTAATTCCTTAAATACACAAATTGCTTTAAATCATGAATCTGTTCAAAGTAATTTGGAAATTATTAAAATGTATTTCTTCATTTGCCAAGATAATCTCTCCCTTTGCTTTTCAGAGCTCCCTATGGAAAGTCCGTCGATATGTGGTCAGTGGGCTGTATTCTTGGGGAGCTTAGCGATGGACAGCCTTTATTTCCTGGAGAAAGCGAAATTGACCAACTTTTTACTATTCAGAAGGTGCTAGGACCACTTCCATCTGAACAGATGAAGCTCTTCTACAGTAATCCCCGATTCCATGGGCTCCGGGTAAGAGGCTTTACTAAAACTCCAAATGGAATCAGTACAGCAGTATTTAAATCATTGTTCATTGCACAATGGAATGCTAAGCTGTCCATTGAATACTATTCCCTTTCCCAATACAATGTTTATAATCCTCATTATAATATTTTATCTTTGAATCTTATATAGTATTTGTGAATTTTAAGAAGTAGTCTGAATTTGAAAGTGGCAGCTGCTAATGTTTTTCCTAATTTATAAGTTCCAAATTTTCAAACTCTGTTCTAGCATATGCATTATTATATTCTACACTTTGGTTATCTCAGAATGTTTCTTTGTCTAAAATATTAAGCATCCCCAAAAGATACAAAATGTATAAATGACTTGCTAATTTGAGCAAATGTATTTGTAATGATTTGAGGGAGAATATGAATACTTGCATTCTATAGATTTAAAGGTTGTGTTCTAGCATGTATTTCTTGTCTCTTGACAGTGAAACATCAGATCTTCTTTTCAAGCCAGTATATTGTCTTGGGCAGCCTTTTCTAGACTTGCTAACTTTGTACAAAACTTGTTTTCAGAGCATATGCTTAAAAAGGATCTTAAGGTATAAACTTTCCCCAGATGAGAGACAAGCAACTTGCAGAGGCACCTTATTAGAGTAGCCAGATATAGGCTGCTTCTCTCTTCCATCTACCCCCAAAGCTACTTTTTTAGTTTTCAACTACTCTGGGCTAACATGCCAATTGGTGACCATTGTGAGAACTCTAAAATAAGCTCACCGCCACTTCCTTTCTTTCTCTTAAATGCATGATTCTCAAACCATGTTTTCTTGACATTCGCAAAGCACTTCATTTTTTCTTTTGACTTTCTGGACCTCCGTTCATTCCACTTTGAAGAGCATCCCCTCCTCATACATGAGAGCACCCAACATGGTGCCCGCTCCTCTCCAAACTCTTACCACACTTGTCTTTCCTTTTCTTTGTCTTCTATAAACATTTTACGATTTTTCCAGCTTCATGGATTTGGGATTTGTGGCTCCTTCTCCCGGGAAGGTGCTTCTGTTGTGTGGTCCCTTCTCACTTCGTAAATCTCAGCTCCAAGAATGTCCCCTTCTGGGGCACCTGGGTGGCTCAGTCGGTAAGCGTCTGCCTTCAGCTCAGGTCATGATCCCTTCTGGGATCGAGCCTCGCATCAAGCTCCCTGCTCCTCGGGAAGCTTGCTTCTCCCTCTCCCACTCCCCCTCCTTGTGTTCCCTCTCTCGCTGTTTCTCTCTCTGTCAAATAAATAAATAAAATCGTTAAAAAAAAAAAAAAAGAATGTGTCCTTCTCTGATGACACCAACATACTGCCCCCACCCTCTTCCTAGTGTCTCCCATAGCACCACCCTTTTTTTTTTCCATCCTAGCACTTCCCCTGGTATGTAGTTGTGTTGTTCATTTGTTTACTTGTTAATTATTAACTGTTGAGTTCTCAACTACTGGAGTATAAACTCCCCAATGGCAGAAATCAACTGTTTTTTCACTATATTTCTAGCATCTATAGCAGAGCCCAGCACATCTAGTTAGGGGCACAGTGAATACTTGAATGATGGATTGAGCCAGTTTGTGTCACCAGCACTCAAGTTCAGCTGAACCTCCCTTCTCTCCATCTCTAATGCTTCTTTCACCCTTAGCACCTTTTTACCTGAAATATTGATGATCACTCCTAAACACATTTCTCCAACTTTCTGTCTTCACTTTAGTGTTTTCACATTGCCTTTGGAATAATCTTCCCTCAAATTACACATTCAATTATATCTCCTTTGTATTTGAAAGTCTGTATGGGATTGCTTACATTTAAACTCCTTAGGGGGTAGCATTAAGAACCCCTTGCTCTTAGCCCTCCAGCCTTGTCTGCCACTCATTCCCACCATTGCACCCTACTTGTCAACGTACTGAACTTCTTACCATTTCCTTGACATGTTCCTTCTACAGCGCTGTATTTTCATTTCTATGATGCTCCTAGTACTCGCTCTACTTCATGGACAGCTCTTCCTCCTCCTTCCCCCAGACTGAGGTCAAGTGTTCTCCTTCCGGGAAGCCCTTCTAGACTCCTCCAGGGAGTGGGTGACTCCCCCTTCTGCGCTCCAGTGGCTCTCATTGCCATCTCTTTTAAATAGCTGTTTAAAAAAAAAAATGTATCCTCACTGAACTGATGAATTTCTTGAGGAAATGAACTATCATGTCCACCATTATATTCACAGCACATCTAGAGTAGTGCCTACAAGGTTGAATAGTAATGAAAGACTGAATATTTGACCTCAGGATTTTAACAGTAACTTCTGGAACATCAAGCTTGGCCTGCTAGCTGCCTGTTCTTTGCCTGGTTAAAGAGACTCCATGCTGGATTGCCTGAAGAGAGTGTAAACAGATGTGTTATGGTACCTGGCCTTAATAACTTATAAACTAGCTGAAGAATTGAGACGTTTTTGCATGAAATAATCGGAAAGCAATATAACTTATAATAAAGCACCTCATTCTTTACTGCATTGCACTGTTTTCTAATACATCTCTCAGTATGGCTGAGACCATGAGAGTGTTAAACATTCTGGAAAGTTAGACATCATAGTTGGCTGGATTCACTTGAGAAAGATTTATAGAAATTTGAAATTTGTATGGATATGAAGAATGAGTAGCATTTAGATTAGATAGGCCAAACGAAGGATTTCTTTCCCTCATTTGTGTGTGGTCTGTTTTGTTCACAGTCTCCTCACTAAATAGTATTATCTGTAAAATGCTGGATAGCACATGACAGCACCGCTTATAAATAACCTTCATAGAAATTGCTGCTTCCATGACACTTTGATTTTTATAAACTTTAATATTTTACAGTTTAGTCTGAATGTGTTTGTGGTATTTTAACTAAATTAGATTAATCTTTTTGGAGGTTTAGCAATGTCATTTGAGAGAAATGTCTTCCTTTATCATTTTGTTGGAGAATATCTGTGGAAGATAGCTAAGCATGTAGAGTGTGGGAACTGGAACTTCCATGAGATACAGACTCACCGGTGACCAGTCTGGTGTTATTGGCATTTTGATTCAGTTGTGTAGAGATTGGGAAGTCAACAAGATGTTGCTCTATTGGTATGCTTTACTTTGAAAAAGTAACAGTTGATGTCCCATAGTCTAGGGCATAGACTCTGGAGTTAGACTGCTGGAGTTCAAAGCCTGGCTCCATATTTCCTACATGAATGACTTTGGCAAGTTTCTTGTGCCTCTGTTTCTTTGTGTAGAAAATGCTGATAACAGAAGTACTATCCTTTAGGGTTGTTGTGAAGGTTAAATGTTATCTGTAACATGCCCAGACCAGTGCCTGACACATAGTAAGTGCTCGCTAAAGACGTACTCTCGTTGTATTGTATTGTTCAAGTGATTAAGAAAGAAAAGCTACTCATTGGGATATAATTTAAACTTTTATGCTTAAGTTTTGGTTATTTGTTGAATTATTACATGAGAATGGTCAATTTCATTCAAAAGCATATATATTAATTTTTTTTAACTTTGGTCATTTTTTTATCATAATATTTTTAATACCTTTTAACTCTGCATTAATTTTCTTATCAATGAAATGTTACTTCTGAAGAAAGAAAGGGACATCTGGTAGCATAAGATAGACCTCATAAGCAAAATATTAATTAAAATGTAGCAGTACAGAGTTATTTATCACAGCATGACAGGTGTCTCTCTTTGGGCTGATATTTAATACTCCAACAACATCCAAAAGAACTTCTGTTGAGAGAGGTGCCTAGGTTCAGAAAGAGTGTGGGTTTGGATTATAGACCTGGGTGCAAATATTAGTTCTGCTTTTTAATTATGTAACTTGCCTTGAATCAGTTATTTGAACTTCCTGATTGTCACCTTCTTCATCTCTAAAATAAGAAGAATTGCTAAAATGCCTTGTATAGCATCGCTTACCTCTGTAATTAGTTATAGATTATTGCCTGTGTGTCTGTGTTAAGTTCATGTTATTCCTTCTACTTCCTTTATCTGGGGTGCTGTCCTACTTTTCTCTGTCCTCACATTTTTCTTATCTTTCAAAACCTAGTTCAAATATTATCTGTGGATTCTTATTTTCTCCAGCTGCAAACCACCTTGGTCTCTCCTTGCTCCAACCTTCAAGTAGAATTTTTGGCTGCACATTTCAGTCCTGATTGCTGTCCCAGCCAGAGTGTAGGTTGCTTAAGTGCATGGTTTAGGTCTGACCCATATGCTGTAATTCCTGCCATCCCTAGCACAGTGTGCAGATAATAGATAATGTCATAATCTCAACTTAAGTGCCTTGTTTGAATTTTCCTCCATAACTAGTCCTCCCATGCACGTATTGAACACGTTTAAGGATTCTAGTACTTTGAAATGCCTTTTTTTTTTTTTTTAAGATTTTATTTATTTGACAGAGAGAGAGTTAGCGAGAACAGAAACACAAGCAGGGAGAGTGGGAGAGGGAGAAGCAGGCTTCCCGCTGAGCAGAGAGCCCAATGTGGGACTCAAACCCAGGACCCTGAGATCATGACCTGAGCCAAAGGCAGATGCTTAACCGACTGAGCCACCCTGGTGCCCCTGACATGCTTTTATATTGGTATAAAGGAAATAAAGCAAAGGAGCCTTCCCATTAGGATGGAGTACATGGCATTGGGCTCTAATACTTTCTCATCCACTTAGATGTTGCAAAATGCGAGGTGCCAGAGAGGACAGAGCACCTAAATAAATTTGACCTCTTCTCCTCATTTTATTTAGAAAGGCATTTATTAATTTAGGAGACTGTTTGTCTTCTGTTCCAACTTATGTAAAGGAAGGAATTGAAAATAGGTCATTAAAAGAGTATTTTAAAAGCAATGTTAGAACATATGTCTGAATTCACTATTGCTATTTCTGTGGCCTTTCAAGTACTGACCTCTCTGCCTTCTGTCTCTCTCTTTTTAAGATTTTTATTTATTTATTTGAGATAGAGCATGAGCGGGGTTGGGGGGTAGGCAGAAGCAGAGGGAGAGGGAGAGGGAGAGGGAGAAGCAAGCTCTCCACTGAGCAGGGAGCCCAACACGGAGCTTGATCCCAGGACCCTGGGATCATGACCTGAGCTGAGCTTAACTGACTGGGCCACCCAGGTGCCCCTTCTCTCTCTCTCTTCTTTTTCACTTCTCTAATTTTCAGGAGTAAATGATGTTGTGAAAAAGGCTTAAGAATTGTCTATGTAAGCAGACAAATTCTGTATAAACTGTATTATAACTGAACTATCTATAGAAACAAGACAGTACTGTGTAAACTGTATACACTCAAATTTTTGCAGTTAGGTTTGTTTTACATGCTTCATTGACTAGATTTAATATCCTCTTTCATCTGTACATTTTTCTGTTACTTAACACCCAGTCCTATTAATTTGTACCTCAAATACATAGACATAAAAGTAATAGACAAATGAATTTGACTTTGGTACTAGGGCAGTAACTTCTGTTCCTTTGCTACCTTTTCCAGCACTCACAGCACATATGCACATGTGTCCCCTTCCCCACGTGCTAACACTCCTGTCCTGTTCTTACAGTTTCCAGCTGTTAACCATCCTCAGACATTGGAGAGAAGATACCTTGGAATTCTAAATAGCGTCTTACTTGACTTAATGAAGGTGGGCCAAGTTGATGTTGTCTGTATACATGTATTTCACAGAAGTAGGCTCTGGTCACATGTAAACACAAAAAAATCCTGTTTCTCCAGCTTTCATTGCACCAGCCAGTCCATAAGCTGGTGCTGGTTGTTTGATAGTAGACCTTCAAAAAACACTTGTTAATGGATCAGTTTTATTTTATGCCCATTTAGTTTATTGTTCAAAATCAGAGGAGGTTACATTATGCACAGAGTCTTTAAAGGTACACTTAGCACAGTTGGAAATTGCTGAGAGCACTCTCAGAACTTTGCTGTGCTTTAAACTATGTTCCTGTGTGTCCTGAGGAACACTGTGCAAATTGGTGTGGGGGCAATGGTGGGGGAGGGGACATGGCTTTTAGAAAGGCTACATACCACATAACCTTTTGTAGAGAATCACAATATTCATTAATTTATGAAGGCTTTCAGAAATCCCATAGTAAAGAAGCATTTATGTCTTGCTCCACATTTCCCAAATTCAATTAAATACTGAATACTTTTTAAAAAAAATAACTACAGTGCCTGGTGTTCTGAACACAGGTTGAGAGAAGCTATTAAAAAGATAGCCCTCAAGGGTCTTTCATGTTAATTAGGCATAAATTATCTCTTGAATCAGTTGGATTTTGTCAGTATGTTGTGTCATACGATCAATATTTATCAGGGCTTAATGATTTGGTAACTTAAAAATGTAAATAGAATAAAGAAGAAGAACTGAGTTAAATACATATATTAAATACATAAATATTTATAAGGTATGCAAATTATGTATACATTTCAGTTAGTGGAGGTATATAAAAATGATTTTGGTCTCACTGGCAGTTAAAACAGTTAACATCAAAATGGTTTCAAATGTATGATACTAGTTGAATACAGAAAAGTTGGCTCCTGAGTAGTATTTTAAATTAGAAGTACATACGACTTTTCACAAGCCAAATATCTACTAGCATCAAAGTGCTATTTTAAGATTAGCAACTGTAGAAATTGCTGCATATACAGACAAAGAACTATTTTCAAATTACTTAAAAGAAGGAGGTCATTATGAGGAAAGTATAAAACTCACTGAGTAAATAGCTTCAAAATTCAGTATTTAGGGGGGAAAAACAACATTTTTTTAAAACTAAAATAGAATCCATATAAATTACCATAGTTTGGGTTAATTCTGGTAACCTGTATCCCCTCTAAAATGGCCAATATGTATAAACAGATTCAGGATGAGATGGCCATTTTAGGTACTTATATATGGACAAAATTAACAAATCTGCTTTAGGGAATGGCATAGAGAATATATTTCTTCATGAAAAGATAAATAATGTTATTTACTTTTCAAACTCATTTTAAAAAGAGCTAAAAGACAAAGGAATAATTCTGTTTATATAACATTCAATAACAAGGCAATATTAATCTTTGGTGAGAAAACTCAGAATTGTGGTTTCCAGGAGTGAGGAGGCACAGGGGTGTAGAGCCAGGGATGGGGGTCTTGAAGAGGTTTCTGGGGTGTTAATGATTTTCTCTATCTCAGTCTTGATGTGGTTACGTGGATATGTTTACCTTCTAAAAACTAACTGAAATGTATACATAATTTGCATACCTTATGAATGTACATTTCAATAAAAATGTTTACTTAATGTTAAAGAAATTTGAAGCTAAATATACTAAATAGGAATTAGTTTAATTTCCAAATTGGTATCAATACAGAAAGATTCCAGTTATCTTTGTACTTTTATCTGTGCTAGATTTTACCAGGTACCACACTGACCCTTGGTAATTAGACTTGGTAATGATTTAACAAAAAAAAGTTCAGTTATTTTTTAAAAAGACAAAAAGCAAAAAACATGAAATTGTATTTAATTCAGTTCTTTATTCTATTTACATTTTTAAGTTTCATTTTCTAAAGAGGAGAATATAACTGAGATAATTTTAGAATTGTGTCTGAGTCAACATGAATATAAATCCACTTGCATGTAAACAGTGGCTTGGGTTACCAGAATCTTTTGACCCAAAATGAATGTTTCAGTGTGTGGTAGGATCAGATTTCAAATTTTCTGTGGTGCTAGGTTATTAAAGGTGGTTGTCTGAAATTGAATTCTGGCTCACTGGGAGCAAATCTAGGTTTGTTCTCATTGTTCAAGTGGATCACAAAGAGATTAACTGTGGGTAAAACCAATGAAAGTGACCTAGAGATGGATTTGGGAATGCTGGAATTTCAACATTCTTCCTTTCTCTGAGAGAAAACGCCATCAGTGAATTTTGCTGTGAGAATATCATCACAGCAGATTCCAGTGTGCTCTACTGAGTTGTGTTAGGTTATGTAGGTTTATGTTTTATATATTTGCTTAATTTGTCAATAAAAATTATTTTAATAATGATTCACCTTTTAAAATCTTGTCCAATTACTAATAAGATAAATAGTATTAGAAGAAAACATTTTAGTTGTTAAAACATCTACTATGTGCAACATAAAAGGGTTAGTTACTGTAATATATAAAGAACACTTAAAAATAAATTAGGACAGGGCACCTGGGTGGCTCAGTCGGTTGGGCATCCAAGTCTTGATTTTGGCTCAGGACATGATCTCAGGGTTCTGGGATCCAGCCCCAGTCTGGCTCCTCACTCAGCGAGGAGTCTGCTTGAGGATTTTCTCTCTCCCTCTCCCTCTGCCCCCCCATCCATTAATAAGTAAATCTTTAAAAAAAAATTAGGACAGATGCACAAATAGAAAAATAAAAGGAATATAAGTAACCAATAAGCATAAAAATATTCAACCTCATTAGTAATCACAGATGTGAATTAAAGCAGCTATGAGATACCATTTATTAAATGTCTATAGTTTATAAGTAGTAAAAAAAAAAAAAAATGAAGGTGCCAGGAAGTTGGTAGATTCTCAGTTGCTAAGAAGGAATATCATTTCAGTCAACCTTCCCAGGGGATGATTTTTCAACACATAGAAAATAATCCTCAAAAGTTTGCATAGCTAACAATCTGTCTCTGGGAGTTTATCCTATGAGAGGGATCATGTATGTGTGCAAGGATTTCAGGTGTTTATCATAGCATTAATTATAATAGTGCAAAGCAGCAGCCATCTAAATGTCCAACAGTAGAGACCAGTTGAGTAAATTATGGTATATCTATACCACACACGTCTTTAGTCATTTAAAAACATGTTGTAAAGTTATTTGTTGCAGCATTTTTCATAAAGGAAACAACCAAAATGTTTATCATTAGGGAATTGCTAAAAACAACCTAAGGCATATCCATAGAGTAAAAGCTTTTCACTGATATGCAATGATCTCTTAAGATCTAATGTCCATTGGAAAGAAAGCTAAGTGCAGACCATTGTGTGTCTGCTACTATATGGGTAAAATAAAAGGAACAGACAAAGAAAGGTACTAGGTACAGAGTATCTATGGAAGGATGCACAAGAAACTGATAACATGGGCTGCCTCCCAAGAGGGGGACAGGAGAAAGATGAGTGTATATTCTTTCATGTGAATATATACTTCTTCCAAAATATATTCCAAATGTTTAAGTTATGTTGTAAAAAATGTTTTTAATTAGTATGTGAAAAATGCAGGATCCACAACTTATATGTATAATATAAGCCAGATTTTATAAAAGAAAATATGTATATATGATATTCAAAAAAGGGCTGGGAGGGCTTATTCCCAGAGGACAACAGTAGTAAGATAATGCGGTAATTTATTTTTTTAATTTTTAAAAAAATTTTTAAAAGGATTTTATCTATTTGAGAGAGTTAGCGAGTGAGCGAGCATGGGGGGGGGAGGGGCAGAGGGAGAAGGAGAAGCATACCCCCGCTGAGCATGGAACCTGACACAGGGCTTGATCCCAGGACCCCAAGACCTGAGCTGAATTCAGACACTTAACCAACTGAGTCACCCAGGCATCCTGACAATGTGGTAATTTAAATAGCCCTATTAAAAAATTTTTTTTTACTAAACTGTGTTTGCTAGATATTTTGCAATGACCATGCATTTCCTTTATAAGGAAAAGAAATAAGATTTTTATTACAATTTAAATTTGACTTTGTAATGTTCTTTCCAATCCTAACTTTGTTTCCTAAGAATTTACTGAAGTTGGACCCAGCTGACAGATACTTGACAGAACAGTGTTTGAATCACCCTACATTTCAAACCCAGAGACTTTTGGATCGCTCCCCTTCAAGGTCAGCAAAAAGAAAACCTTACCACGTGGAAAGCAGCACTTTGTCTAATAGGTAAATATTCCCTTTTAAGGAAATACAGATGCAGTGTTGGTCTTACAAGTAGGTGGAGGAGGTGGCTGCTTAAATGATGCAATTAGAGAAAAGAAGGAAAGCCCTCTTTATTCAAAAATATCTTTCTTATGCTTATTACATGATTCAGAACCACAATTAAAGAGTTGTGTGGGTCTTAAAGACTTTCTTATCTTTAACAAGTATATTATGGAAACCTATGCATTTCCTGGGAAAGGTAGCATAGGTTAGCAACTAAGGGTGTTTCCAGACTCATGAACTAGAAGATTCTGTGTAAATGGGGCCCAGGTGTGATTCTTGGAGGCAAAAGGGTGGGTGAGGGCAAGGGGATTTCTGGAGGGAGAAGAGGATGTCAAACACAAGTGGGTAGGAAGCTACCTAGGACAATCTTTGCAACTGAACCAAGTAGGTTTGGCTCTGTTAGAAGGCTCTTAGGTTTTTGTTGTTCTTTTATTTTTATTTTTATTTAATTAATTTATTTATTTAACAGAGAGAGACATAGCAAGAGAGGGAACACAAGCAGAGGGAGTGGGAGAGGGAGAAGCAGGCTTCCTGCCGAGCAGGGAGCCCAATGTGGGGCTCAATCCCAGGACGCAGGGATCATGACCTGAGCCGAAGGCAGATGCTTAATGACTGAGCCACCTAGGTGCCCCCATTGTTCTTTTAATCATTGAGTTGAGAAGTTAGTTTTTCATAAGAATAAGAATATGGAAATAGTAAAGTCAGTTTGGTAGATAGTGATTAAAATTGGTGCTTCTTAAAATAAAAATTTTTAGCATAATCTTAAAAAAAAACAAAAAACCTCTATTTCTGGGCTGAGGGGCTGTCTTCCCTCCTCTACCAAGAAGCTGGTCTTGTCATCTGGTGTTGCTCAGACTCTGGGATTAGTAAATTGTTTCGCTCATCTATATTAGAAGAGAAACAGAAAATGATAATTCTTAATATGAAGCTTTTTGAATATAAATTTTTTCTCCTTTCACCGCAATTTTCTCTCCACATAGAATAATTGTTATTAATCTATTGGAATTTTGAAAGCCCAAGACCTGGTACTTTTTGAAGATCTGTGAGCATATCCATAAATTGGCAATAACCATTTATCCTGTGTTTTCTCTGCCTAACTGCGATGGTGTGATTGTGTTTTACTGCTCTTTACTCTTTTAAATGTTTGGTTTTGGTTATTGTTTCCCTCACATCTTATAGACCATTCTTACCTGGATTGTTTTATTTGTTTGGGTTTTTTGTTTGTTTGTTTCTTTTTTTTTTTCCCCCAGGGAGGCCTGTGAGCAGATTCAAATTCTGCTTAACCAAGTTTGTGTTCACTTTGTTATCTGTTTCCATGAGATTTTAGTATACTAAGGAATAATAGTCATCATGTAGTTACTCCTTTCCATTTAGGAAGTTCACATTATGCCTCTGTCTTATCTGGGATCACTCACAGTTCGGGTACTTTTGTCTCCCTTCTACCTTAATTATCACTTGACTCCTCTAGTTTACATTTGCAAAGGAAAAGGATCCCAAGGATATAAAGTTCAGTAGACTGATGATAAGTTTTTGCTTCATGCTGTAGTGATTAGTGGTAATAACCCATATCATGAAAGGGGGCCTGTGTGTTTGTCCTCTAATGACTTGGCTTGAGAGATCCCCGATGGGGGTCTGAGGCTCTCCCTGGGAACCTTCTTTAGGAATCTGTCAAGGAGGATGTGTGTGGTGATAAGGCTATAGCTTACATGGGTCTTCAAGGAGTCTGCCCAAATCTTCTTTTGAAGTAGACAAGAATAGAAATAAGTAAGTAAAATCTCTGGAAGGTTTTGTTTTTAGGTCTTAACACTGTGTAGAATTTTAAAAGAAAAAGTCCTAAGTGGTTTCTTTAGGAATGATCTCAGCTCAGTTTACATGTATGTGGAAATGTCCTTTTCTCTACACATGTCTATGGTTCATATTTCCTCTATGGAATCCCTTCTTGTTGGGGACACTAACTACACAGACCATGGCTAACTCGGACTTCCCAGCACTATTGTAGAGGTGTTCACGGCATGATCGCTGCCCTGAGACACGTTCGCACACCGTGTCTTCTATTGTCCAAGTTCATGTCTCTGTAGAAGAGGCAGTGGACTCTTGGCATTACCTTGCCCTGCCTGAGTCTCCTTCAGACTGTCCTGAGGTTCTCCTGACCTTGGACGTGGTGGGATGGTGTTTCAGCCTGCCCTGCCCTCTCACCAGTTCTGCTTTGCCATCCTTCTCCATAAAAATGTAGCTTTGCATCTTTGATGTTTACTTTGGAAAGTTATTTTAACTAAAGAGATTAACTATCTGTCCTGCCAGCCATTTCAGAAGGGTTTATATATAAAATCCTCTTAAGTGCTTGGCAGTTTAACACAGATTCCTTACAGTTGTGTGCCAAAGAGATCTATGGAATTTTCGGAGCCGTTTTTTATTGTTGTGCTTTGGCAGAACTCCAATTTGAAGACAACTTGATGCCCTTTCTACTTAAGAATTATGTACAAAGCTCAATGGCTTCAAATTAATACTAAGACAGAAGTGTTCAGAATAGGGGTTTAGGCTCTTTGTACTTTTATGGGAAACCTGACTCTTTGATAAATGTTTCTACCTTAACATTATAACCTCCCTTTTCACATTAGAAACTGTATCTTACATTGCTATGAATTTGTTCTTCCTAACATGTAGGTTTGTGCTCTACTTTGAGATCAGTGTTTTCCAATAGTTTCAAAAGCTTTAGCAGCTGTCTTCACTCTTCTCTATCCTTTTCTGGTTTTCTTTGGAGCTTCGGGCATTACACAATATCTGTGTGTGTTATCTCTGCTATTACCCTCTCTAGACCTGAAGGAGAAAGGGGAGGAAGTAGGAATATGAGAGCCCAGGGGAACCAGGCAGGAGGATCCACCCCATCAGAGCTATAATCTGGACAGACACAGCTGTGACCCGAGTTAGGGTGCATGCTGAGAAAGAGTAGGGAAGACAGCCCCCGGCCCCTTGCACTGCTAAGTACAACTGGGAGTTAGGTGGCAAGGGATCCCGGGTGATGCTGTATGCAACATTAGACTCCTGAGGCCCTGAGTGGGGCAGAGCAAAATGGAGAACAGATTGGGGATTGGGTAAATGGGAGATAACCAGCACAGGTAGATCTATTTATGGGTTAGACTATTTGCATATTGTTGTTTGGGTTTTTGAAAAGTTGCTTAGATATTTTAGTTATCGAGATATAAATTGACAAATGACTCAGATGGCTTAAAACCTGATGTCTTTAGGGCACCTGGGTGGCTCAGTCAGTTAAGCCTCCGGCTTTTGATTTTGGCTCAGGTCATGATCTCAGGGTCCTGGTATCGAGCTCCACTCCGTGCTCAGTGCAGAGTCTGCTTAAGATCCTCTCCCTCTGCCCCCTCTCCACTGCCATCTCACCAGTGTGCTCTCTCTCTCTTTAAAAAACAAACAAACAGGGGCGCCTGGGTGGCTCAGTCGGTTAAGCGTCTGCCTTCGGCTCAGGTCATGATCCCAGGGTCCTGGGATCAAGCCCCGCATCGGGCTCCTTGCTCAGCGGGAAGCCTGCTTCTCCCTCTCCTTCTACTGCTCCCCCTGCTTGTGCTCTCTCGCTCTCTCTGTCAAATAAATAAAATCTTTGAAAAAAAAAACAAAAAAAAAACCAACCTGATGCCTTAGGATAGGATATGATGACTGCCCTTTATTGATCCTGGGGATAGAGTCAGTTGACATCATTTAACAGAAGGTGAAACTTTTGTTTCTTTTTTATTAAAAAAAATTTTTTTTTATTTGTCATTCATTTATTTAGAGAGCGCACGCAAGTGGAGGAGAGGGGAGAGGGAGAGAGGTAGACTCCCTGCTGAGCGCAGAGCCCCACATGGGGCTCGATCTCACAATCCTGGGGCCACGGCCTGATCCAAGATCAAGACTCCGACACTTAACTGACTGAGCCACCCAGGCATCCCGAAACTCTTGTTTCTTTGTAATTTCTTTCTAGGTCTAGGACCTGCTATTTATTTAGTTAGCTCATATTTAAGGGACCTTATTTGATGCTACAATTGTGACTGAACCAGGAGAGATTAGTGAGTACATTTAGGAGATGAGGCCTTCCACAACTGTTACAGGCTTGCTTGTTATCAGATACTTTTTTTTAACACTCTGAAGGGTAGGAGGACGGGAAAAGAGCCCTTACCTTTGATGCCTGAGCAATGGGTTCTTAGGGAAAATGAGAAGGAATAGTTTCACAGATTACCATTATACAGACAAAAAAATGTGACTGTTCTTCCAGTTAGTGTGTGATGGGAACAAACCTCCCCATGTCAAACCATCTTTAGCAATAGAAATATTTGCAGCAGAATTTTCTGAATGCATAATAAAAAGGGAATTGTGTAAATTATTTTTCACTTAAAAGCGTTCTCCTATCTCAAACTATAATTTGGTCCTTTAAATAGTTGCAGTTGAACAAACTGACCTTGCTGTGAGGTCAATTTTAGCTTTCCATTAGAGGACAAGGTTTTCCTCTGGATTTGTATTTTGTATTTTAAGCCAGGTAGGAAATGAAGCTTTAAATCTTAAAGAAGGCCTTAGTCGGTTTGGAATAACGACGTGTGAGATGATGAAGAAGAGAATAAATTGTGTCTTCTGGAGAGAAATTAACTCTCTAGATCCCTGTGATCAAGTTAGAGACACATTACTGTTTAGGGTACGAGGAGGTACCTGAAGTACCCTAAAAGTATTGCCACTTCTCTAAAACATAAACATTGATCATCACGTTTTCCAACAAAGTTTACGTTTGGTTGTAGAGTGTCATTTTCGTTTTTTGAGTATATTGCAAGAACTCTCATTCTTTGACGATACAGACTAAAGACAAAAGGATACTGGTGTCTGTGTGTGCTGTGAGTATGTATCTCTGAAGCAGGCAGTGAGTTTTACAAATAAAAGGGAAGTTCAAGGAATATCATGATGTTCAAGTCCACATGTTACCTCTGAAATTCAAGCATTCAAAGAGTTATAAGGAGTTTGTTATAGCTTAGCTCTCTTCTTCTTATCAGGCATTCTATAACAAACACTCATGTGAGCACCAGCATAGCAAAAACATGTTTTCCCAGATTATCAGTTAGAAACCGTGTTGGCAACAAATTAGTTGAACATTTAAGGATGTCAAAATCATTTCGTCAGGACCATTGCTTTGTTGCAGAGTGACTTGATCTAACCGGCTTACTTTTTATGGTTACTTGTCATTTGTTGGCATGTGTTTGAGCAAATTAAATGTTTTTAGTCTTTGAGGTGTTTTAAGGGTGTGTGCGTGTGTGTATTTTTTTTAAACAGTACTTTTTGTGTGTCTGCTATTGAAGGAAACTGATATCCTTCTTTTGTTTTTAACATAGAAACCAAGGCAGCAAAAGTGCTGCTTTGCAGTCTCACCACAGATCCAACAGCAAGGACATCCAGAACCTAAGTGTGGGTCTGCCCCGGGCTGACGAAGGTCTTCCTGCCAACGAAAGCTTCCTAAACGGAAATCTTGCTGGAGCTACTCTTAGTCCCATGCACACCAAAACCTACCAAGCAAGCAGCCAACCTGGGTCTACCAGCAAAGATCTTACCAACAATAACATACCACATCTTCTCAGCCCAAAAGAAGCCAAGTCAAAGACAGAGTTTGATTTTAATATTGACCCAAAGCCTTCGGAAGGCCCAGGCACAAAGTACCTCAAGTCAAGCAGCAGATCTCAGCAGAACCGGCACTCATTTATGGAAAGCTCTCAGAGCAAAGCTGGGACACTGCAGCCCACTGAAAAGCAGAGTCGGCATAGCTACATTGACACTATTCCACAGTCCTCTAGGAGTCCCTCCTACAGGACCAAGGCCAAAAGCCACGGGGCGTTGAGTGACTCCAAGTCTGTGAGCAACCTTTCTGAAGCTAGGGCCCAAATTGCAGAGTCCAATACCAGCAGGTACTTCCCATCCAGCTGCTTGGACTTGAACTCTCCCACCAGCCCAACACCCACCAGGCACAGTGACACGAGAACTTTGCTCAGCCCCTCGGGGAGAAATAATCGAAGTGAAGGCACTCTTGACTCACGCCGAACCACAACCAGGCATTCTAAAACGATGGAGGAGTTGAAACTGCCCGAGCACATGGACAGCAGCCATTCCCATTCTCTGTCTGCACCTCATGAATCCTTTTCTTATGGGCTGGGCTACACTAGCCCCTTCTCTTCCCAGCAGCGTCCACATAGGCATTCCATGTATGTGACCCGGGACAAAGTGAGAGCCAAAGGCTTGGACGGAAGCTTGAGCGTAGGGCAAGGAATGGCGGCCAGGGCCAACAGCCTGCAGCTCTTATCACCTCAGGTACAGACTGGACCTTGACTAGATCTGTTGGCTCATCATGGGAAGGTGGTGCAGGGGTGTGAATAGAGTCAGTCTGCAGTTTTCTCTACTGTAGGAGGTTGTGCTTTTTTGATAGAATGCATTTAGGGAAGCAATACTTGAAGGACTATCTGTTAAAAAAATTAATTATTTAAGGCCCACTGTTGAGTACTCAGGAGAATTAAAAAAAAAATTGTTTTTAGAAATCTGCTTCTTAAGTGTTCCTTTCTAGCATATTTTGTTGAGAGAATCCTATTTTGATTTAGTACGGAGTTCATTGGTTGTACGGGATAGTTTTTAATTTTCTCAAAATTTAGTGTGATTTGTAGAGATTTTCTCTAATCTTTCCAGACCACGTTTGTTTAAATCAGACACTTTTACTTATACCTTACTCGATATTTTCACTGAATTGAAAAATTTCTAATTTATCTAGAACTATAGGTAAATTTAACTTCAGGCCAAAATAAATGTTAATTTACAGTCTTTTGGATTGTTTTTAAATCTCAAGGCATTGTTTTTATCCTCATGCTTCCTCCGTCTTACTGATTTTTCAAACTCTAGAACTGCTGACATTAACCTGTTTAAAAGAAGTAGCAGTCCTACAACAGAACACGTTTTTTGTTTTTTTTTTTAAAGATTTTATTTATTTATTCATGAGAGACAGAGAGAGAGACAGAGGCAGAGGGAGAAGCAGGCTCCCCGCGGAGCAGGGAGCCCCATGCGGGACTCGATCCCAGGACCCCGGGATCATGACCTGAGCCGAAGGCAGACGCTTAACCGACTGAGCCACCCAGGCGTCCCCAGAACACGTTTTTTAAATTACATTTTCATTCTATGAAACATTCATCTGCATCAACGAAATGAGGGTGGAGATAAGCCAGTGTCAGAAGGAGAGAAGAATTTCATGTAGGGAAAGTACTCCCCTTTTCGAGGATATGAAAATAGATTCACCAGACAGTTCTGTGTCAGAACTCCAGAAAATATGGATGGAATATGTAATGGGAGGTTTAGCAAGATGGGTGCTGAAGATGGGGTGGAGATTGTCAGTAACAGACCAGTTGGTGTAGCAAAGCAGCTAAGAGCTCAGGTTGGGAAACCAGGCGGACCTGGGTTTGTGTCCCAGTTCTATAGTCTGCTTCAAATGATGTAAATCTGGGGAAGTGATATAATCTCTCTTTGCCTCAGATTCCTCATCTGAGTCGTGTCGTAAGGTTTCAACATGGTGTATAAAGCACCGTGCCCCGTGCCTGGCAGAGTGTCAAACACATTTTAATTGTTGCTGCTTCTGTGATGGTGGGGACTGTTTTCTAGACCTTTAACATTCTCTCTATGCTAGGTGTTCTCAGACACTCAAAAGAGTCTGAGGTAGGGTTCTTGCCCTTGACAAACTTATCTTCTCTCAGGGAACATTAAATTATACATGATAACAATGAAATAATTAAGAAGCAAATTACTATGGCACTGGCTATAAATAGGAGTTGAGAACAGGGAAAGATCATGAATAGGAGCAGTTAGAAATGGCTTTGGGAGCAACTAAAGGTCTTGCTCTGAGCTAGGATGTAGAGAGAAGCTTTGGATGGCTAAAGAATGAGGATGTGTTCAGTATTTACTGAATGAGGCACCATGGTGGGCTCTCCTGAGAAAGATGAAAAAGGTATGACCCCTGTACTCTTGGAGTGCATGTTGGGGCCCACTTGCCAGGGATCGGTCATGGCAATACCGTGAGGCTGTTGTGCCCACGCCGCGCTAGAGGCAAGTGTGCCGTAGACAGAGAGGCATGGCCCAGTCCAGGCAGGGGTTGTGGAAGGTTCCCTGGGGAGGTGGCATCTGAGAAGAGATTTCTGGGGCTTAACTAGGGGGAGAAAGTGGAGTTGACCTTAAGAAAGGCTGGAAAGGAGGGCAGAAAAGAGGAGGAGGCTAATAGAGACATTAAACAGCATGGTGTGCTGTGGGGATTGCAACTTGTTCCTCGTTGCCCAAGTGAAAAATGCAAGATTTGAGGTCACTTTTGGAGTAAATCAAGCATGAGGGGAGGGGGGAATGTTCTACCCTTAGTGCTGGTGGGAAAACAGAAATAGTGGGTCTTAAAGACTCCTCAGAAGTACAAAGCGCAGGATATGTGAATTGAAAGATTGAAGACAGGAAAAAGGAAGCCTTCAGGCTTCTTTCCTAGGAACTCCTTTTCAGAGTAGGAGAAAGGACTTTTGAAGTTACCTAATTCAACCCCTTCATTTCATAGATGAGTGTGCTAAGGATCTAAGAAGTTAGGTGGGTTGCCCAAGTTTTACCCAACTAGTCCAAGGTGGAGCTGGGATCATGAGACAGTGTCTAGGTCCCTAGGCCAGCATTCTTTGCACTGTATCATGCTGACCTGTTGAGGCTGAAGTGACCCTAGGCCCCTAAGCAGAGCTGTCCTTTATGAGGTTGGAAAGACTGGTGCCCAGGTAAGAGGAGGAGTGGGAGATGCATACTTGCAGATGGAGGAGATGGCACATGGTGGGAGATGCAATGATTGGAGTCAGAACAGTGGTTGGAGGAGTCCCTCTAGAGAAGAGAGAACCTCTAGGGCCTAGAAAGATCTCTAGAGCCTGGCAGCTGCCCATAGACATTAGATGGATGTCAAAACCAGGTAAAGCGTGCTAGCATGCAGCGTAGGGTAAATAGAGGAGATATAAGAAAAATAAAAAGCTGAACTTGGAGAAAAGACAAATGGACTGGTTCTCAGAGTTCCAGAAAAAAGACTGTGAACATTGTGGAGATAATCTAATTATAAATGGTTACTGTGGGCTAAGCACAGACCCAACTGTTACAGAATTTTAAGTCCAGTTCGGGAGGTACAGTTCCAAGCTGCAAGATAGTACAAGTTTAAAGGCACAAAGATGACATTGACTAAAGCCATGAGTAAATGATGAGAATCACTGTCCTACAAAATATTCTGGCCACCTTCAAGAGGAAGGGGACTGAACTAGCACTGTCACTTAAGAGTTAGGTTAGATATAAATCATTGTTTTCTAAAAGACTTTTCTAGAGGGCTTTGTGAAGTATACAGGTGCTGAAATTCAAATGAGATCTTATCACAAGTTAGGAAGAAGAAAGGCTACCTAGGATGATTTCCTGCCCAGAATATTCTTTCATAGTACATCTGGGGAGTGAGGGAGACAAAGACAGAATCCTATTTAAAGTTTAAATAAAATGTTTTTGATATATCACGTAAGGCTCAAGATATGACTCTGCAGATATGCAATGCAGCTAAGTCCTCCTAATGCCTTGGTAATTTTGTTCCTTAATCTTGTTTTCCTCAAGGGTAGAAGATGCCACTTTTCCCCTCAGTGAACACCATTGTGGACCAAGGCTGCTCTTAGCTTGTGTTTCACTTCCTTGAGGGAAATAATAGGCAGTGTCTCCTGAGATGTGTGCTGTCCTGATCATGGTTTAGAAAGTACAATGAAATACAAGTACTGTTACCCTAGAGAAGATTAAGAAAACTTTAAGTACATAAAATACAGTAGTTAGGGAATTTTAAGACAAATCATTAAGAGTACTGATTCTCTTCCATGATCTATCAAAAGAACATTTGATTTCATCTGAATCTGCCATTTAAGTTCTTAGTGAAAAATAATTTTGGATCTGCATAGTTCTTTTTGGAAAAATCTGCTAAAGAAATTTTGGATTAACTAATAGAATCTATTTAGAGTGCTGCACAGAACCATGACTATCTAGATATCAGGAAGATAATTTTCTTTGTTTTTAATAATTAATTGAACTATTTTCAGCATAATTCTTTCCCTGCTTGCCTTAACTTTAATGAGAATTTCACTTTCCATCTGTGTGACATTTGTTTGAATTATTTTACATTCATCAGATGATTCACTCTTTTATGGGACAATTTGTGTTTTAGCCAACTAACATTTTTTTATTTTAGCTGGTGAAGGTACTAATTATGCCAAATAAAGCCCATGGTGATTTAGGTGATTTTCATCCCTAGGAACAGGACACTCTTATAAATCCTTTTAAATTTGACTTCCAGCCTGGAGAACAGCTCCCTCCAGAGATGACTGTGGCTCGATCTTCTGTTAAAGAATCTTCCAGAGAAGGCACCTCTTCGTTCCATGCAAGGCAGAAGTCTGAGGTCTGAATTCTCCACAAGTTGCTAACTTTTACTATAAAACTTGTCTGTAAAGAGTAGTCATGTGACATCATTACAGCCTATCTTGTAAAATTTCTTCATACCTAATCTCCCGCAAATAACTTAAACTGGCTTATGAAGTTAAGTAGTTTTCCTCATGCCATAATTCTGAGTTTTCTCTTTAAAAGATCCTGGAGTAAATTCTAGATCAGTTACACACTATTCTAAGTTAATAGGCCACATCATCATCGCTCTATTGTTAACTTTTTATAAACCTCTTTCTTGTCTCAGGGTGGAGCATATCATGACCCCCACTCTGATGATGGCACCGCCCCCAAAGAAAATAGACACCTGTACAATGACCCTGTTCCGAGGAGAGTTGGCAGTTTCTACCGAGGTGAGCCCAGCCCTGAGCACCCACCTGGGTCCTCTCTCTCTTCCCCTTCCCTGCACCTCCAGCCCATGCCCTCCACTACACTTCACTGCCTTGACTTCAGGTCAGCACGGTTCTTGTCTGTGCTGTTGCCTTCCAACACTTCTCTCCGCTTCAGGTCCTGCTGTCTTAGTTTAGGCCCTCATGGCTTCTGACTTGGGTTCTTTGAGTAGCCTCCCAGCTGATCTCCCTATTTCCCAAGGTTGCGATCAAACCAGTCCCTGGAATGATCCATTTGCAGCTGTGTCCTGGCCATCCCACTCATTCATTCAATTAAGTGCCTAAGGTATTTATTGATGTCACCTGTGTGCCGGGTGCTGGTCTAGCTTAGAACATGTCAGTGAACAAGACAGCCAGAGGTCTCCACCTTCATGGAGCTCACATTCTCTTGAGGAGAGAACTATACTAAATGTAAGAATTATTAGAGCAGTAAAAGATAATAAATGCTACGAGGCAAAAACAGAGCAAGGCAACCCACTGCCTGCCCCCAGTCCTTACTGTCTCTCACCTGCTGACGGTCCTCTGGTGGTTTCCCATTGACATCACAACAAAATCTGGATTCCCTAAGATGACTTTCCAGATATTCCATGCCCTGGCTCTTGCCGTCCTCTCCAGGTGCTGCTCCTCCCTCCTGAAACACACTCCTCCCCTGCTTGGATAGCTTGTTTCTGTCCCATTTAAGGTTCTACTTTGAAGTCCTCTGCAGTATGATGTCTTCCCTCTCCACCTAAAGTGAAATGTTTTCTTCTCCGTTCTACCCATAGTTCCTTGTCTAGCGCTCTAACATGACACAGACTACATGGTATTGATTCTTTGTCTGCATTTCTCTCTCACAAGGTTGCAAGGCCCTTGATCATATGTTCCTCTTTTACCTTCATTGACTAGCGCACTGCCTGACAGTTTCATAAATATTTGTTGATTGAATGAAAGAAAATCCTCAAGTGTACTTGCACAGCCTTAGAAATGTACTTCGATGGTTAACTGACAACTAAAACAGAGGCTTTGGAGGCTGTATGGATTTAGGAGATGTTGACAGAGAAAGGCATCCCCTTTGAAGAGCTATGTAGCAATAGAGTGAGAACCCCTCCAGAGCTCTAGCCCCTGGTAGGGAGACTAACAGCAAGCCCACCAGGGTAGAGGCAAGGTCCTAGATGTTTCAGAGGCTCAGCTTCTTAAAGCCTGTAAGAGTCATCATGACCTTCTACAGTTGCCCTCACCCACATCGTTTGGCTTTTCACTATTCTTTTGATTTGGGGGGACAGCTGGAAAGGGACAGGAATTGGGGGAGAACACGGACAGCTGCTTGGTCATCTTAACTAGGAACCTGAGCTAAATAAATGTATAGAAGTATTATTTAGGACTAAATATGTATTGATTTAGGCTACTTGTTCCTTCCCAGCCCCATTTGAAAAAAGCATAGGGCATTGAATATGCCTTTTAATGCATTTGGCTTTTTCTCATGCTCTGGTCACTTTATAATCTTAAGGGACTAAAATTTTAATTCAGATTAAAGTTAGCTAAAATATTGTAGTGTATATGAGCAAATGCCCTTTTTTTCTGTCACTGTAAGTTTTACTTCCAAAATGGATCATACCTGTGTTATTCTATAGATGTCTGGAGTATATACTTTAATATAAAATGTTAACAAAGTTTTGATTAATTAGGAAAGACAGTTTTATTTTGATTGCAAGTGAATTGAATTGGTTCATGTCAGCAAAGCCCCTCATTTATCTTCCTCATAATACACTTCAGGGTTTAACAGGTAGAACATTTTTATTTTAGAAAGTCCAGAAATAGAAGGAAGAGATTTAACCAGGTGAAACATCTGGAGACATCTGTCATTTCAGTGATTCTTCCAAATCTAACTGGATGAAGATTTATGGTATCATTGAAATGACAGATGTTTCTAGAATACTTCCTGTTTTTAGTCCTACTCGTCAAGAGGCAAGTGAAGGGCGCACGGGTGGCTCAGATGGTTAAGCGTCTGCCTTCGGCTCAGGTCATGATCTCAGGGTCCTGGGATCGAGTCCTGCATCGGGCTCCCTGCTCAGTGCAGAGCCTGCTTCTCCCTCTCCGTCTGCCATTCCCTCTGCTTGTGCTCTTCTGTCTATCTCTCTGTCAAATAAATAAATAAAATCTTAAAAAAAAAAAAAAAAGAGGCAAGTGAAATGGTGTCATTTATCTTGACATTCAGCCTGTATATTCCTTTTGTGATGAAATTTGCCATATATTTTGATTTATGATCGAGCTTATAAAGTAACAGGGGCGCCTGGGTGGCGCAATCGGTTAAGCCCCTGCCTTCGACTCAGGTCATGATCTCAGGGTCCTGGGATCGAGTCCCACATTGGGCTCATTGCTTAGCGGGGAGCTTGCTTCTCCCTTTCCCTCCACCTCCCATTCCCCTGCTTATGGTCTCTCTCTCTGTCAAATAAATAAAATCTTTAAAAAAAAAAAAAAAAAGATAGTAACAGCCCCCACCCCACCCCAACAAAGGGCAAGAAGGTACTTACCCACATATGTTGTGGTTTGTCTTTCTGTTCTTTCCTGGACTGAGAACTTAAAGAAAAATAGTATTTTTTGCAAATAACTGAATTTCTTTGGAATGTAGTTTAAAAAATAGAAAATTGACTCTGCCTCCCAAGTGTAAGGCTTAAAGCACAGTTAGTATATTCTAGCACACATATTGTTAAGAGTCACTTCAGACTGAGAATAGATTTTGCATAGTTGAATCTATGATGTCAGAAAGCCTCAGTTTCAAAGAATGCCAAAACAGTGAAGGGGGGCTATCCTGTTCATACTTTTAAATGTTCCACAATGTTCTTCATTTAATCAGCTGACAGGTCAATTTGTGTTTTGAATATATATTGCCTGATGTTAACTGACCCTTGCAAATTAATGTTATGATCAGTGGGGGGCGGGAGAATGTTCCCTGGAATGCCTCCACTCTCAGAAAACACAAAAGTTATATAAAAGGCAGAGGAGGGTTTTGATTTACTTGTTTGTTTTATTTGTGTGAGAGAAAATGGAGTAGAATCAGGTAAGAACTGCTTCAGCCAAAAAAGTACATCAGTGACTGACTTTTTCTTTATTCAGTGCCATCTCCTCGTCCAGACAATTCTTTCCATGAAAATAATGTATCAACCAGAGTTTCTTCCCTACCATCAGAGAGCAGTTCTGGAACCAACCACTCAAAAAGACAACCAGCATTCGATCCATGGTGAGTATTTTGATTTGTTTTTACTCTCCTTTTTTCTAATTGTAGATTCGAGATTTCAAAGAATTCTGGATACACTTTTTAGCTTGCTTGCTTTCTCAAGAGAGATTGTTGATAAGGAAACTGATTTGTCATTATTTGTAATGGTTTATTTCAAGTTCAGCATTTATATTAAATATCATGTAGAAGAAGAAAAAATCTGCTGGGTCACTAAATGCCTCATATCTCACATACCTTCCACTGCATTCTTCTGATAGGAATGCAGTCTTTCACTGTCTCTTTTGTTATTGTATCACAGAGCAGACACTTTGTTTAGCACTTTGTGTGCACTGGCTCACTTGGTTCTCATGGTCAGCCTTTGGGGTGGGGGCAGCTGCCATTCCACAGATGAGGAAGCCGCAGCCTCCAAAAGGGAGAGCACTTGCCTGGCACTGGGCAGCCCATAGCAGGGAGAGGGGAGCCAGGATCTAGCCCTACATAGGGTCTGACTCCAAAGCTTACGTTTTTCACCTCTGTGCCACCTGACTTGCATTCAGGGTGAAAGGAAAGAAATGGAGGGACACCCTTTATGCTACCACAAAAAAACATACTGGTAGTCAGAGGCTAAAATGATGTGCCAGCTTTGCTTATCCTTTTATCTTCTTTGCGTCATATGTATTAAAAATTTAAGGAGAGTTATATCGAGTATTAAGTCTCATAAGAAGATCTGCCTAGGGAGTGAGGACCTTTTTAAAAAAAATAATAACATAGACTTGATACTCTCAGCTGCCCAAAGAGACTGCCCAGAATCTAGATGTGAGGGATGGTTATGTGTACTTCGTGAAACTACTAAGTTCTCTACGTGGAATAAAATGGTACATCACCGTAACATTGCGAATTTAGAATAGGGCCGTTCTGTCAGATTCCAACTCTGGTGTTTATTGCTGGAAGTCACAGAAAGGTCTTAGGTCAGTCAGTAAGTACTCCTGACCCTGTGTGGTTGTGCAGCTTTCCCCCTTTTGGCAGGGTTGTATCAAGGTTTCAGTGCTTCTGTGCCCTGTGGTAAAAATAACTTCATTATTTTTAAAACAGTAGTAAAGACAATGTTTTTAAAGCTATAAATATTTTCATAAGCACAGTTTATATCCATTGCCTTATTTATTAAATGAGAGTTTTAACATTAGTAACTAAGAGGTTGGACTCTGGAAATAGGACATCTTGATTAATGTCACCTTCTGTCTGTGTGACTTTAACCTCTGCCCCTCAGTTTCCTCATCTGTAAAAACAGGCCTAAGAATACTACCTCCCTCACAGGATTAATGTGATCATTAAATGAGGGAAAACATCAAAAGCACCCAGAGCAGTGCCTGGCACACTGTGACTTGTTACTGTTAGCTGCAGCAATTTTTACCACGGATGATGTCTTCTAACTTCAGTAGGACTTGTCACGTGTCTCCCCTCCACTTCCTTTGCTGAGAAACTTCGCTGCATTTTTCCATGTGACTGTAGACCAGCTCTCCTATACATTAACCTGGGAGCACAGGTACAACGTGTAGTTACCGGCTTTGACAGTTTTCGGGTGAGGCTTTGATAAGCCATGTGAATAGTGTCTCAATTGTGAGACTAAGGAAGTATAGAAGAAATTGTTTTTCCTATTGGACATTGCATAATGGAGTGGTGATGGTTTAAAAGAGAATCAATTACAGATTAACATAGTTCCATCAAAATTAGGTAGGTCAGATCAAAACTAAATCCAGATGTGGGATAGGTAGTATTAACAACATACTGTTTTTGTCTTTTTGATAGTCAGTTTGAGTAGAGCTTGTTTAGACCAGGTATATGTAGAAACTGAAAACAGTTGTTTGTTTGTTGTTGTTGTTTTTTAAGAATTAGAGACATAATTGGGATGTTTGAACTTTAGACTTTAGACAAGCTGTTGTTGAGTCATCCCTACTCTGATATTGCTGTGATGAAGCTTGAGAGGGTTTCAGAATTACCAGTTGGAATTGCAGTAGCCTTTTGTTCCCACTGGCCCTCATGTTAATGCTGCTATGATACTTCTCCTTTGGGCATCACATCTAACTTAGTCTAAGTCATTCATTGAGCTTGACTTATCTTGATTTTTTTTTTCTTGAACAAGAGATCTCATTGGTTCACCGTATTGTGTATATTCGAGAGAAATGCTGCTTGATAATGTACAAAAACATGAACAAGTCTTGCTATGGTAACATAGTGAGTCGCTCTTCCTAAATTATCACTTGCCTAAGGGCAGTCTGTTTCTCCTTGATAGTGGTGCTTCCCATTCTTTTGGGATGAGAATATTTGTACAGTGTACATATTTCTTGGAATGGAAAGATCGACTTACTAAATCATATTTAATAGATACAGATATTGTAGTATAATATCCAGAGTGGTTATTCTAGCCATCTCAGCTATCCAGAATCCAGTTAAGAACTGGGAGATAAGCCAGAATATCTTGGAACAAAAAACAGTTAATGCAGTCAGATTCATTTTTACTAATGGGAAAACACCTCCACCCTCCCTATAAGCCTGTTTACTCTTTTTTTTTTTTTTTTTAGATTTTATTTAATTATTCGAGAGAGAGAGAATGCATGTGCACAAGCAGGGAGACGGGTGGGGAGGAGATGGAGAGAGAATCTCTAGCAGACTCTGCGCTGAGCGCGGAGCCCAACATGGTGCTCCATCTCATGACCCTGAGATCGTGACCTGAGCCAAAATCAAGATTCGGATGCTCAACCGACTGAACCACCCCTAAGCCTGTTGACTCTTACACACAGTTTTAGCAGTTGGCAGTGAGGTTGTCAGGCAAGAAGTAATCCCGGGTAACAATACAGTGTGAAGAGGGAGAAAGATCCCAAATAATAGCCAGGGAGAGGAGAGGGGTATTTTTGCCTTTTCTCAGGCTCCCAGTAGGAATATAATTTCTGGCCCTCATGATTTCATATGTAGAATAGATATCCATGAAGCATATAGATTTCTAAAACAGGCTGTTCTTACTTTCCTTAAAAAGGCAAAGTATATAAAATATGTTTGCAGGAATCCTAGTAATTAAGGTAAGTGAAGGATTGCTGTCACTGCTTGCACAGCCCCAGGCTTTTTCTTCTGGTTAAGTTATGAATATATTGGCATCCATTATTGCTTGCCACCATAACTCACAAAATTGTTCACTGATTGCTTTCTTCTCAGACATCAGCTGACTGGTTTAGTCCCATGGCCAGGAGAGGGGGGTAGCAGGGAAAGTGTCACACTACTGTACTGAAGCACTAGGATCTGACCCTCTGTCGAACCTGTGGGTATCCCACCTTGAGTCTGTGAGCAGCTTGAGGTCACACTCCTTGTTTTATTTTTCTCTCTAGCCCCAACACCTCTAACACCAGGCCCACCACATACACAGTATTCCATAAATGTTGGTTAACGTCCATTCAGTCAACTTTAATTCCTTCCTTTTTTAGGGAAGTCTTGAATTCTTGAATTCTCTCTTTCCTCTTGACCCTTTATAAAACAGCTATTACATTAGAGGATGTCAGAGTAGGGGGAGGTCCCCCACCCCAACCCCCACTGCTAGCTGGGTGGTCCTTCTCAAAGGTCCTGTACCTGAGATGGATGTGATCACCCATTTGCCCTTCTCTCGTGCTGCTCCTCTTGGACCCGTCTATTGCCTATACTAGGTAGAATCATAGGGTCCAGAATTCACAAATGAGATAAATTATGGTGTAGTACTGATTGTATCTCTGTCTTTATTCTTTTGTACAACACACAGCTTTTCAGGTGCCTGTGTTCCAGCCGGCTTTTCTCCATCTCTGCCTCTCTCTGAGTCTATCTTCCAGGCTTTCTCCCTCTGTTTCTCTAACTCTCTGTATGTGTGTGTTTCCATGTAGCTTCTCCCTCTGTCCTTTCTCTATCTCCCTCTCTCTTTCTCTCCCACTTGCACTCTTTTTCTGACTTCCTTTTTGTGTCTTTTGTGATACATGCACACTCACGCTTCACTCATAGCTTTCATCTTTCTAGTTCAAGGGTAATTTATTTCCCTTTTTGTTTTGGTCTCTGGGATCTTTCCCTACCCGAATCTTGGCCCCACTACCTCTGTTCAGTCTCAGTCTGAAGATGTTTTTCTCATCATTCCTCCTTTCCCTGGGCTCTGGTTTACCCAGTGTCTCTGAAAAGACCCTGCAGAGGGTCTCTGATTTATCGTCCCTGCATTTTGTGCTCACAAGGGACTGCAAACCCTGGGCTTTTTGTCCTCCTGCTGTTTCTCATTCATTACCGTTCTCACCGGTCCCCCTCACTTTCATCTTACTGGATAGAGACTTCTTCCCATCCCAGATCTGTTCCTCCTAGGATTAGTGTCTCAAGACTTCTCTTGCTCTCACGCCAGCATTAGTAGTCTTACAGTAATGTCCATTCCCATCCTGAGCTTGCAGTCATGATGAACGTGTTCCCCTTAAAGATTTCCTGGATTGGCAGAAAGCACTTTTACTACTGACCCTCGGCAGACCTTGGAGATTTTGTTAGACTTACGTTCTGATTGGTTTAGAAAAAAAAAAATTCTACCTGTTAATCTGAATACTTTGCTGTGCTTCTAGGTTAGGTGCAGACCCCATTATGGAAAGACATAAGCTATATCATAAGCAAATAGTTCTTTAACTTCTGTAAGTTATAAGACATTAAAAATAGTATTCCTGGTTGGTCTAGATGCTATGTGAGGTTCCTTTCAATTCTGAGAGTTGTGCTTTTGTGATTCCAGGAAACTACATTGTTTTACTATGTTCCTTAGAACCGAACTTTTCACTATTCCATTCTTACCTATTCCATCATATCTGAAGTTTTCTAGCTTTCAGAATTGTAAATGTATCATTCTGAGTTCCAGTGCTAGTTATTTTTATTGGTTGTGTTGTATTATAAAACTTTCACTTCAGAGCTTGGAACTCTCAATGATGTTTAAAATTGCAGGTCCTAATGAGTTTCAGGAACGCTTGGGCCTACAGTCCTGAGTTTTTACTTCCTTGGTATTCCCATTAACTTTTAGGCTAGACACTTAAGAAGAAATGATCATTGCTCCTTCACAGAGTCATGTTTTCCTGTTTTTTAATCTGTCTTTTTCAGTCTCTTCCCTTGTTGTCTTAGATCTTGAGTGTTTGGGTTTTCAAATAAGTTTTCTGTGGTTTCTACAACCTTTTTATTATATCTGTAGCACATGTTTAATGTTGAAACTAAAAAGAAGAAATAATAAATCACCAATAATCTTACTACCCAGAAATGATAGCTGTTAAGATTTTATTTTATTTCTGCCTTTAAAAAGATATGTGTGTGTGTGTACACATATATGCCTTTTTATTTTAAAGATTTACTTATTTATTTGAGGGAGAGAGAGCACAAGCAGGAGGGACAGAGGCAGAAGGAGAGAGAATCCCAAGCAGACTCCGTGCTGAGCATGGAGCCTGACGCAGGGCTCGATCCCATAACCTGAGATCATGATCTGAACCAAAACCAAGAGTCCGATGCTCAACCAACTGCGCTGCATAGTCACCCCATCCCACCCCATCCTTTTTTTTTTTAAAATACAGTTAGGCTCATATTATGTAGCAAGTTTTGAATCTTGTGGTTTTTCACTTAGTATTATATTTTAAATATTCCTTTAGATTACTGAAAATTCTTTGAAGATAATGATTTATTTTTGATAGCTTTGTGGTGTTTTCTATCATGTGGCTCTCTAACAGTTTATATAGATGTTTACTGTCTCCACACAGATTTAATCAAGAATGCCACTTTGCGGGGTGCCTGGGTGGCCCAGTCGTTAAGTGTGTCTGCCTTCGGCTCAGGTCATCGGGCTCCCTGCTCCACAGGAGGCCTGCTTCTCCTTCTCCCACTCCCCCTGCTTGTGTTCCTTTTCTCACTGTGTCTCTCTCTGTCAAATAAATAAAATCTTTAAAAAAAAAAGAATGCCACTTTGCTCATATTTCTTAGAAAGATACTGTAGTAACTTCATCACCATTACGTGTTCTAAAATCACCAATACGAATGAACTCTTACCTTTAATGTTTTACTCTTGATTTTAGGGAATAGCTAATAGAAGGAATTCAATTATTTGAGAAAATGGTTTTGCACAGTCATATATTAAAATTTAAAATAGAACCCATGGAATGTGTCTTTTTGAAGAATACCACCAGTTGAGTTGCTTTTTAAAGACTGTAAATTAAATTAAGTAATACAGGGCCTTTGTTAACATACAAGTCTGCAACTTATTAGGGCCAAGGTGTTCTGTTTGCTGTCTGTTAATACCTCCTATATGTGTTAAAATACCTGGTTGGGGGGCGCCTGGGTGGCTCAGTTGGTTAAGCGACTGCCTTCGGCTCAGGTCATGATCCCGGAATCCTGGGATCGAGTCCCGCATCGGGCTCCCGGCTCAGCGGGGAGCCTGCTTCTCCCTCTGACCCTCTCCCCTCTCATGCTGTTTCTCTCTCTCTCTCTCAATAAATAAATGAATGAATGAATGAATGAATGAATGAATGAATGAACGAACGAACAAACAAACACACAAAAAACCTGGTGGAGTCAGTGTGGTATGAAGCTTAATGTTGTCAGTATTTTCAGTTATAAGTTTTTTTCCACAAGTACTTTGTATTAAAGCATTCATCTTGTCCACGTTTTTTCTTACCTGATCTATTTTTCAATTTAGTTTCAATAAATAGATGTTAGGTTTTTATAAAGGAATTTTCCAGTTTGAGGCAATTTTTACTTTTATTTACAACACTTCTGTAGCACCATTGTTTTGTTTTGTTTTGTTTTTTATGTTCAGTATCTTGGCAAACCACTAATAATGAACTTCTTGAGCTGGTTTTAGAAAGGTAAATAGAAAAACGAAGATACTGAAAATGTTTCAGCTATTTCCCTTGGAGGGTTATGAAAAAGGCATCCATCCTTTAAACTGTGTGCTTTTCAGATTCTCCAGTTCTGAGGTTTTCAACAGCATGAAAATGGTCCTGCAGCACAGTTACCAGATCATTTGCAGTACTGCTCAAATTGCCAGTTCAAGTGTGCCTGTGCCAAAGGCTAATCATTAACCATGGTTGATGAGATTCAGTTCCTCCTGTGCTTCTTAGAGGCTCTTTAACTATGTGCTTTATTTTTCATGGCTGTTTGAATCTGAACCAAAACCAAGAGTCCGATGCTCAACCAACTGTGCTGCATAGTCACCCCATCCCACCCCATCCTTTTTTTTTTTTTTTAAGTTTTCATTGTATTTGTCATAGAATGGCAGGAGAAAGATTGAAAGATCAATATGATAAAAAATGTCTTCCCATTTAGGAAAAGTCCTGAAAACATTAGTCATTCCGAACAACTCAAGGAAAAGGAGAAACAAGGTTTTTTCAGGTCAATGAAAAAGAAAAAGAAGAAATCTCAAACAGTAAGTAGATGGCTACTTTCTATATACAGTGGCATATGAGTCTGCATTAGTCTGTGGGTACTTGACATTTTGTACATGGCAATGAAAGTGAATTATTTTCTTACTGAGATTTGACATGCATACATTGTATATGTGTCTTTCTAAATTCTATACAACTATCCTCTTCTCACAGAGCCTTTTCTAGATTCCACAGAATCTCCAGGAATAGAAGAAATTTAATTTGGATGAGAGAGAACACTAACCTCTCTCAATAAACATCCATGTGGATTTATATTCATGTAAAAACTACGAAGCTGCAGGATTTATTTTTCTTTGGGGGTTAAAGATGTGTGAAAACTTAGGAAATGGTTTTGGTGTGTGCTTAAATCTTGAAATTTATAACTAACCATCATTCATTATTCTTCCCTGGCTGGTTTTCCAGTTGCCATGTTGACAAGTGCATTTCTGGGCTGCATAATCACAGAGAGGAGAATAGTATTTGACATTTCAGGGCTTGCTTTAGTAGGAAGACATGTTTATCTTGGGACTGAACTGTGAATTGGAACGAGTCTTATCTCCTGGGAGCCCTCTGCCTCAACCAAGGTTTGGCTCCATGGAACCGTGCACATCCTATCACTGAACCACCCAAGCAAGGATTCTGCTGGTTAGTGACGTGAGGAAACATGGGAAAGCCAGGCCTCTAGGCCAGCAGGAGCTTCTTCACCCACGTGAGGCCTGCTTCCCTCTTTGCTTTATGGTACTTTCAAGGCCAGACAGTGTTGAGTCAGCTATCTTAAATGCTTTTGTTTCTGTTTCTTCTTCATACATGACTGACTCTCATTTATTTAAAAAGGAAAAAAGATTCTAGGATTATGACTCAGTGGTAAGTAAAGATGAGATAGATGATAGTAGCAAAGAATGTAATACCCAAAGTAAGGATCACAGATGTTCTAGAAATATTAATAAAGACTTTCCTAGATTACGTTTCTAGATCATTCTTTCACTTGCATATTTGTTAAATTGATGTGTTTCATTATAGAAAAATTGAAGAAAAAAGATCATTTCTAATCTTATCACCTGTCACACTGATCTTATCACCCTGTTACAACTAGCATTAGGGTTTTGGTATATTTCCTCCTAGCTTTTTAGTCTAGGCATATGTTTGTAGAAAGAAGGTGGTTTTTTAGTTTGTTTTAAATAATAGTAATCCTTGTATAGTTTTGTATTCTGACCTTTAATAGTATATCTGTCAATCACACATACACATAATATATGTTACTGCACAGATCGTATCATCTTCATTTTAATGGCTGCATAATATTTCCTGAAACATTCATGTTTTTTTAAAAAAACTGTCTATATCTCTACCTAAAATTCATGTAAAGCAAAATGTCAAATCAAAATGCCACTCAATCAAATATTGCTACATTTGTTATTTAGACTGGATAAACAAAATAGACCTGATTAAAGTGGAGAAGCTTAAAATATTTAAAATGCTAATACAATAAAACTTTTATCATTGTCTGTAGAACATATTTATCCATCATGAACATTGAACTTAGACTCCCTCTCCTAACCCCTGTTATTTTTATTTTGAGGTTTTTGTTTTTGTTCTTAACCTCAGGTCTGTAGCCACTGTGGGGTAATTAAGTGGAAGAAAGTAGCAGGAACCAAGGAATTGAAGGTGTTTTGTGTATAGATTTGGCTTTCGATGTCTGTCTGCATTAGACTAACATTAAACCTAAAGCCCCTGGCTCACCATGGCCTGAGTTGAGTGTATACACGTTGACTAACTCTGTTATTCAGGATCTCATTCAAATTTTAGATTTTTAAATAGTATAGGTTAGGGCAAATAGGAAAATAATTATTCTCTAACATTCTCTCCACTCAAACTTTTTAAAGGTTTTTATACATTTCATTTTCGATATGTAAAGTAACTGCAAAATATCTCTATATAGGCCACAATGCTTTAAGCCTTCCAAATCAAAAGTTGAGCCTCTGCATTTTTTAATTAAAAGAAAAAGAATTTTTTGGAGAGAGAGGGGGTGCACAGGGAGAGAGAGAGAACCCCAAGCAGTCTCCACAACCAGTGTAGAGCCCAAAGCAGAGCTCGATCTCAACAACCCTGAGATCATGACCTGAGCCAAAATCAAGAGTCAGACACCTAACCAACTGAGCCACCCAGCCACCCCAGAAGAAAAATTTTTTTAAGGCCTTTGGGTTTTAGAGTAAGATTTCCAAAGAGCCCTCTGAATTCTGCCAGACCTCAGTCTCCTAAGCCTAGCATGACATCAACTCTGCCTCCTTCAAGTGAGCATTGAAACAGAATTAAAGTTACCTTTTTTTCACTTTCTAGAACTCAGCAAAAGGAAACTAGGTAAACCAGCTTTGAAAGATTTAAAGCTTTGTGGTCTTTGAATAAAACTCAAAAAGAAAAAGGAAGGAAGGAAAGAAAGCAAGAAATGTGGCACCCAGTGCATGTAGAGAAACAGGACATTTTTAAACCTCACTGACTCCCAAATCTAGTTTAACACCTTTATTTCACCGATGGAGGACTGCTCAGGCAAGTTGTGACCTGCCCAAAGTCGCACAATCAGTCGGGATACCTAGAGGTGGGTTCTCCTAAATAGCAGGCCCAGGCTCAATCCCTGCCACAGGCCCACCTCTGGTAGAGAGCCTCTGGCCACTGATTCCTGGGAACTCTCCTGTGGCCTCCTTAGTGAGGTAAGTTAAACTCTTCCCTGGGATCCCATCCTGGGAACAGGAACCTTCACTTGATCTTAGCCAAAAGGCCGAGAAGCGATGGGAACAGGAACCTTCAATGGGCCATCTTAATTGAATGGCTTCATACAAGGTGATCTGAATACCTTCATATATATTCTAGTTCTCTAACAATTGAGCCATCCAAAACAGGGAAAAGTGGTGCCAAAAAATAATTCTGTATTGCAAAGGTGCCTGCTTTGACTCAAGCAAATCTGGAAGCCGCCTTGGGAAATCTGGCTTCAGTTCCATATCCAGAATTACATAAGCCCTCAGAGCATATGGTGACTTTGCCAACTTGGTAATTGTACCCTAGTTAGTTAGTATCTCAATTGGTAATCATGCGTCAATTTAAAGATTGAACTTTCTGTTTTTTCACTTTGAAAACCTGTATTCTGAATGGTGCCACATATTTTCCATGGAGTGAGTATTTCTTTAATAGCACAGAACCAGGCTTCTTCCATGGTGGTAGACCAAGTGATGTTTTCTGGTTCAAGAGTTGACCATGTTCAAAAGGGTTTGCTATATCTTCTTCTCCCCCTCTCCGCCATAGGCAGATCACATGGTCAATTATTTAGTTCCTGAAGTCCTCACTAGCAATTAGGAAAAGATTGAAGTTCATCAGTAGCTCTTTAAACACAATTCTTTATAATAATCTTACTCCTGATAATAAATAAATCCTTAAATGTTTTGTAAGCTCAGTGTGACTAGATGTGTGTAGGTTTCTAGGCATTCCTATTATAGGTAAGGATCATGACCACATGTTCTTTTTATACATTGAAGTTTTTGCAGGTTTTGAATTTACTTTGTTGGCATCTTCATGTCCAGGTGAGAAATGACACAGAACTCCTCTAGGTGCACACACAGCACAGAGATTCCTTAAGTGACTGTTAATATTGAACAATATCAGGGCTCCCAAGGGCTAGGAGTTTCAGTAAGAATACCCTTTTTTCTTTCTCTTCTTTCTTTCTTTCTTTCCTTTTCTTTTCTTTCTTCCTTCCTTTCTTTCTTTTTCTTTCTTTCTTTCTTTCCTTTTTTTTTTTTTTTTTTTTTTTTGCAATTAGTTTATTTGTATCTTATATTGCAGACAGATTCCACCAACGGGGAGAATCCAAGCATCAAGAAATCCCTCTTTCCTCTTTTTAATTCAAAGAATCATTTAAAGCATAGTTCTTCTTTGAAAAAGCTTCCTGTAGTCACTCCACCCATGGTACCCATTTTTACGTACGGTAGCCCTGCACACTGCTCCAGTAAACTTGTTTTACTGATGACCACAGCATGTCTTGTATTTTCATGGGGTCATATTCTCTTTGTGCTAGTTAAGTACCTGAGCCAGTTCCATAAAGTTACTGAAATATCAATTCTTTGCCATTCTGGATTTTGTGAATCAGTTAAGGAAGTTGAAGCATAAAAGGCTACTAAACAAACTAGTGAAAGGCTAGTTTGGGTTGTCTGGTTAGCCACTTGTGGGCAGATGGCATTCATAAAATCCCTTATTTCCTTTAAAGAATTTGATTAACGTTTACAATTAACAGTGTCTTTTCGTTTGGCTCACGACGTCTGTTAACACTTGGTTGGCAGTTTGTTCTTTGAAACCAAGTTGAATTGACCAAATTGAGTGAGCCAGCAGGCTCCACTTTTCTTAGTTGGTGATTTGCTTTTTCCTTGCCTGGCTCTAGCTTTTGCTGGTCACTTAGTGTAAAGCCAGGGCTTTTGCTTGGCATTTGGCATTATTCTGTGTTCACCAAAATCGGTGAATGGACCAACTGCATTCATCTGGAGTTTGTGGCACAAATTTCCAGGATTTTTATAGTGCGTAATGCTAGACCCAGATTTCCTGGGCAGTGTCTTGGGAATATGATTCAAACCATACTTTTCCCACTTCAGTATCCTTGAAAGCCTGCTAGATTTCTTTGGGCACCACCAAATACAGTGTTTGGATCATTTTCCCAGCAGGAGCAAATTTTTGTTTTATTGAACTGGTTCATAACCTAACTGCAATATGGAATGAGGATACGACAGCAATTTCTGGTACAGCCCAATTTAACTGCTCTCTCTTACAGCGACTAAAACTAACAGCATGGGAATGCTTTAAGGGTTGAGGTTTTAACAAAGCTGCATGACATCTGCCAATTTTTCCTAATGCAGGGAAAATTATTAAGAGGGCAGCAGAATTTAACTGGCATCACTTGCATTGTGAACATTGGGAGAGTTTTGGTTTCGTTTTTTATTGGGGGGGTGGGGTAGAGGTTTGGTTTCCTTTGATTTGTTTTTGTTCTCCTCTTGGGTGTGGTTGCATATCTTAGTAAGGCTTATTAGGGTTCTTATTGAATCCTTGCCCATATTCTGCTCTAGGTGCCCAATTCTGACGGCCCCGATCTGCTGACATTACAGAAAGCCATTCACTCTGCTAGCACCCCGAGCAGCAGACCAAAGGAGTGGCGTCCTGAGAAGATCTCTGATCTACAGACCCAAGTGAGTGGTGCCTGTAACACTCCTAGATTCTTAGACTCTGCAGTGACTATCTCGCTTGAGAGGAGGGCAAGGTTGAGGAATTTAACCTCTCAGTGTTACAACAAGACTGAGAGTCTCCTCAGATTATACCCTCACTGTGAATAGCAGATGCATCTTGGGAGTCCAGATGAATCTTGTTTCAGTGCCCCATGTCCTAATGGGAAAAGAAGTGAGCTTCCATTAGCCTTCACCTAGCCCCGGGTGGAGTAGGGTAGGGGGGTGGGTGTCAGAGGGGTGTAAGGGGAATAAGTAAGACGTGGTCCCAGCCCATAAATACTACACATCCTAGGAGAGAGAGAAAATCTTATAAATAACCATAATTCATGGTAAAAAGTGAGACATGCCATAAAATGTAGGGGAGGGTGAGAGGAGGAGGTAGTGGGAAGATGAAGGTTTTGTTAAATATGGTAGCATGTGAATTGGGCCTTGGAAGACAGATATGATAACCTTTCTTGAAAGAATAAGCTTCTGAAATTGATAGTATTTTGATAGAAAATCAAGCAGTTGCATTAGGAACTGCATAGTATACAGTATTGTATAATTGCATTCATCTGCCATAATGGGGAATAAACAGAAAATGAATCAGTAAATTTTTTCAGGTAACTGAGGTTTATCTCCTTTGGACAACTATTTTGATTGGAATGTTGTAATATTGCATCTTTTCAGTATCCCATAATGAGCACAGTGACTTAATCTAACTTGTTTTTTGATGATATTAACATTTTAAAAAATCTAATATTCCTCTGTACTGTAATTTCTGATAACCCTCATGAGCTTTTGAAGCTCTAGGATTGCTTATACCTATAGATGACCACAGATTTCTGTGATTTGGAGGAAGAGGGTCTATTTTTATAGCTTTGTTGTTTACTTTCTTTAACTGTTACTTAGAGCCACTGACAGGAATTCCCAAATTTCACTTGTATTTGCCCAACCATTTATATTTTCTGCTTCTAATATAGTGTAGGCTAAGGGGAGGGAAGGTGATAGAAAGGGTATAGAGAACCAGATATCCAAGTTACTGGATATGTATCTGAACTAAGAGCACAAGGCTCTGAGTGAGGGCCTGATGTTCTCTTCCCAGTTTTATATAAAAGAGTACAGGGAAAAACAGAGGGTTCTAGAGGGGAGGGGGGTGGGAGGATGGATTAGCCTGGTGATGGGTATTAAAGAGGGCACGTACTGAATGGAGCACTGGGTGTTATACACAAACAATGAATCATGGAACACTACATCAAAAACTAATGATGTAATGTATGGGGATTAACATAACAATAAAAAATTAAAAAAAAAAAAGAGTATGGGGCTTTAGAACCTTCTTTGTGTAGCCATTTCTTTTGCTAAGAAGCCCTTTTCAGGTTACTTTTTATCTCCAGCTGGACCCAAATTACTGTAATTGCTCAACAGTTGCATGTGGTCAGGGCTATAAAAATCACCAGGAGTCTCATTGTGTTATCATTCCAGTTTCAATAACAAAAAACATAACTTTGAGCACTTAGGATGTACACTGTGCTGTGCCACCTCCCCTGGGGACCACAAAGCTTTCATGGACAGACTTTGGAATAGTCATGGAAGATGCTTCCTCAAGAGCAATTTCTACCTAAGTCCATTCTCAAGCAATTTCCCTTTGATTCAGTGCTCTGATCCTTCAAATCTTGTAGTAGTCCTTGAGATCATCAACATTTTTGTTTTGTTTTGTTTTGTTTTAAAGATTTTATTTATTTATTTGAGAGAGAGAGAATGAGAGAGAGCACATGAGAGGGGGGAGGGTCAGAGGGAGAAGCAGGCTCCCCGCCGAGCAGGGAGCCCGATGCGGGACTCGATCCCGGGACTCCAGGATCATGACCTGAGCCGAAGGCAGTCGCTTAACCGACTGAGCCACCCAGGCGCCCGAGATCATCAACATTTTATTAAAACTTTGCCAAGCCCTTAAACGGATGGCTCTTGAAGATTGGTAGCCAGAGGTGGCCCAAGGCTAGGGCTACATCCTGAGTTCAGGGTCCCCGTTGAGGGCCTTGAATTTCAGGGTGCTTTCACATGCCTCTTCTGATGGTAAGCCTCATCACACATCACACAGAGGAGGAGAGGGGAGTGAACCACCTTTCACCAGTGGGTGAGCCCGTGGTTCAGCAGTCGCCTGGGAAGAGTTGCCTAGTGTAGGCTAGGTGGCTGCCAGGACCCTCGCTTCTGCCTTGGTAAAGCACCTGTGGGGTCTGGGCCCCAGCCACACAGCAGACAAGCAGGGCAGCTGTGAGCCCATGGTAGGAATCCAAAGCCCCTTGTGAGTGAATTGTGTTTTAGAGTCTGCAGGGCTTTTGCTTGTTTCTCTCTGCTTTGTTCACTTTTCAGTGCTCAGACCTTCCCCCCACCCCCAAAAAAGTAAAAGTGCAGACAGGGAACATTTAGATTTTATAATATCAAGGAAGAGGGAAAATTGGGGCGATCAGAATAGAAGGGGGATATGCAATTTTTCGCTGAGTGTATTGCTACCTAAATGAAACATTGCATTTCTTCAGTTTTCTCTTGCCGCTAGATTAGGGTTGAATGGCCGAGTCCTGGCTGGTGAAAAATAAGTGGCAGGTTTATGTGGAGCTGTTGGGAAGTCTTCTCAAAAAGGGAGAGGCATATTCCTTTTGCTGCTTCCTGCTGGCTGAGGCATGAGATCTCCCCCCTGTAAAGGTGGGATGCCGTCAGATAGCAGGTACCTAAGCCTTTGATCAGCCACCACACCAGCTCTAGATTTCTTATCTAGATTTCTAGGCTTTTTCGTTAAAGCTAAATAACTTCAATCTTGTCTGAAAAAGAACAAAAGGACAGATAAGGCTAGACTTAGCCCCTCCTCCCCCGTGCCTGCCCTGCAGGCTACATGCAGTCATCTCAGATCTGTGCTCCGTCTCTCCCAGCTTTGGAGTCTACTCTAAATTAAGTCCTATGCGCGCTCTCATCTTTTCTTTCAGAGCCAGCCGTTAAAATCACTGCGCAAGCTGTTACATCTCTCTTCAGCCTCAAATCACCCGGCTTCCTCAGACCCCCGCTTCCAGCCCTTAACGACTCAACAAGCCAAAAATTCCTTCTCAGAAATCCGGATCCACCCTCTGAGCCAGGCCTCTGGCGGGAGCACTAACATCCGGCAGGAGCCCACACCAAAGGGCAGACCAGCCCTCCAGCTGCCAGGTCAGATGGACTCTGGTTGGCATGTGTCCTCTGTGACCCGGAGTGCCACAGAGGGGCCTTCTTACTCTGAACAGCTGGGTGCCAAGAGCGGGCCAAATGGGCACCCCTATAACAGAACAAATCGGTCTCGAATGCCAAATCTGAATGATTTAAAAGAGACAGCCTTGTAATGTGTGCTGGGGTGGAGGGTGGGGGGCTAGGTAAGCCAGTGGGAAGGGGATGGGAGGGTGTGGGTGGGTGGGGAATGGGCTGGGCTGGGGTGGTCAGCCAAGTATTTTCAGCTTTATGAAGGTGAGTGCAATATTGTACGTGTGGAGCCCTCTGGCTCCTCACGGGCACAAGTGCTAGTCAGGGATCTCAGAGCCGCAGGAGTTCCTTAGGGACCGCCAGTCCCCATGGATCTTGTGTGAGAATGGAGAGAGTGTGCCATTGAGGAAGAAGACATTCTTGCCAGTTTCTCCCCTGTACATTCCAGCTTTAGTGCAATCCCTGTTGAACTTGGGAAAGCCAGGATGTGTTCTGGTACTGCAAGGGATAGAAAAATTCATGCTGACCGATGCCCTTACCACAGTTTTGGTTTTTGGTTTTTGGTTTTTTGGGGCCTAAACTAAAGGTGGGGTTTATTGTAATCCAAGAGTATCCCTTTGAAGGATTAGCAGATGAACTAACTGTAAGTCTTAAATTGTTTTCTAAACTTCCCTATTTGATAGGATTTGTAACATTTATTTATAATTAATATTGTACTGTTCTAATCATACCTTTTATGTTAAATGTAAAGTTATTTTGAGCTGTTTGGAACATTGTGAAGCAGTGGGACAGCTACAGTAGTTTCTATAAAAACTAAACAGTAACATTTATATATTGCATCAGGAGTATTTTATTCTATATATAAATATATATATATATATGGTAAATATCTGTCTGTTTTATAAATATAATCATTTAAAGAAAGTATCATTATGACACTATCTGCCATATTTTTATACATTTGTGATATGAAGTGAGTATTATACTTCTAATCAAGGGAGTTGAATTGTGGCTATGTGTGACTAACAGTGGGAACCGTGCTCAACTTTTAGGCCCCAGCAGTAGCCTCTAGACATGATCCTTGGTAGCAGATGAGATGCAGCATCTCCTCCCGAACCCATAGGCAAGAAAGGTGGTTAGGCCAGTGAGAATTCTAGCAGGTCTCTGTCCTGTCTCTGTCCTCACAGTTGGCTCCTGTTCGCATCCAGGGACGTTCCTTGCACCTGAGGGGAGAATAGATCCAGGGTTACTCATGGGTCTTTGTTGAGAGAATATGCTTTTCTCCTTAGCATTGGTGTAGAGTGTAGACCAAAGATTTGCCAGTGAACATTCCTAGGTTGCAAGGTTGCAAGAGGCACCTGTCTGTAGATCTTGCAAACCAGCTCTATGCTCCTGAATCCTGTGCACTGTACCGGAGACTCTTGGCTGGTGGGGTGTGAGATCCATGTGTGGCATTTCTATTTCTAAATGTTTTTGTTGTTCTTGTTGTTGTGATTGCTCTTTCCAGTATATTTAAAAGGCTCCTGAAGCAATTCCAGATGTAGAGAAAATTGCTATACTCATTTTTTCTTCCTGGGACTGTCCATTTATAACAAGGTTATCACGTACATCAGTACACACACACTATCAGAACGGGACTTCTCTCCCTCATTTGATCTCCTTCGACTCCCAAGTTATTCTCAAGCATCATCAAGGCCTATGGCCAACAAGGGTTATAGCCCGGTGTCTCTGGGCCATTCTTGACAGAAATCACCTCAATACCATCTATCAAGAGAATTAGATTTTTGGAAGTAGTCTCTTAGCAATAATATTTTTAAAGACCCACCCCCACCCCTCAAAGGGGTAACTTCTCAATATTTATTACTTGTCCCAGGATTCTGAGAGCATCGGCCCCTGAATCAAGTCAGCGATAATTGAAATGTGCTGAATTACTGCTCCCCCTCCCCCCAAGATTTTGAGAATCATAGCTCTGATGATTATAAAGATTATAAAGAAAAGGTCTTAGTTTCTTTGAAGCTTAAATTGTGTGCATATTACATTTTTATATAACTACTATAATGTGTATTGATTATATATAGAGGTCATTTTAAGGTGCTTTTTATTTGATTTTAATAAGTGTAATAGGCACTAAAATGAAACTCAACTGGGTACTATCATTAAAACAGTTTGATTCAAACCAATAGTTTGCATGCTCTTTGGTTCTTTTTATATCTTGTTTCTTTCACCAGTTCGGTACTGTTCAAGTAGCTCTGAATTCTGGCTTTTCCCAGGCAAGCTGCTCAGTTATATAAGTGACGTGAACCCTTAGCAGTTTTTGCCTGGATACTAATGAACTCTAAAAGGGTGTGTAACTCTTCTTTTTCATACTAGATCTGTACCTTGTATCCCCCCTCCTTGCAAACCAGAAACTACATTTTTTTCCTCCGGAAAGACTTCTCACTGTGCTGTGCGCTTAGGAACTGCGCAGTCACATTGCCATGCTGTGGCATTTGAGGCTCGTTGTCACCTAGGGGCTGGTTTCCCATGTTTTCATCCTTGCTAACACTGGGATCTCAGATGTTTGCAGAACATTTATATTCATGATGGTTCTTCAAAGAAGGGCTAGAATAATTGCCTTCTACCTAGAGCAAAAGTAAACCTAACTGATGAAGAGTCAATACGTACTTTTCGTACATTCCCAGATTTGAGCCAGAAAATATCTACAGTATTTTCAACTAGTGTTTTTGAGGTAGCTCTTTTATCCTCGTCTCTGCTTTTGTCCATTCTGACTTTTCATTGACCTCAGTAAGCTATAATAAGTGAACTACAATCCGCATTTCTAGCATGTATAATTCTCTTCCTGCTCGCCGAGGGGAATGGTCAAGTTTTCTCTCAAATCTAATGGGCCCTCTCTTAGCTTTTAGCTGTTGTTTTCCTCTGGTAGATGAATCATTGACCTCACAAAAATTGCCATCCATCATAAGAAGGATTTGATTTAAAGTCACAAAAGTCTGCATTTTCTTTAAGAAGAGAAATTTAGGATGTTCATATTCTGCTCTCTGCCCTAACTTCCTAACGGATAAAATACCACTGAATGAAGGCTTATGAATTACTTTGTTTTATGGAAGTATTGCTGATCTACTTTTGAAAAGAAACTCTGCTTCTCTGTTTTTCTACTTTTGCTTTACCACCATCCTCGTTCTTCTTCTCAGAAGTTCTGAATGAACTTTTACTGAACCTTGCTTGGTCTCAGTCTGAGGGTTAGCCTCTTCAGAGCCCAAGATCAAAAGTATTCCATGCTAAGGAGCTCAAGTGAGCTGTCTCTGTAGCAGTGGTTCTCAGTCAGGGCCAATTCTGCCTCCCTGGGACATTTGGCAACATCAGGAGACATAGTTGGTTGTTATAAGCAGGAGTGGTGGGGGAGCTCCTGGCATCTAGTGGGTAGAGGCCAGGGATGCTGCTGAACATCCTGCCGACAGAGGATCCCCCCACAAACAAAGAATGACCCAGCCTCAAATGTCACTCGTGGTGAGGTTGAGAAACCCTGCTCTACTGGATTCCAAGCCCACTGCTCTGCAGAGCTTGGCTCTGTCCTTGTTCTCTCCAGGCTACTGGAGAAACTGCGGGTATGAATTCTGCAGTACCTCATTTTCTGCAAGAATCTTCTACCACTTTTTTTGAATCCCTGGAATCCTGTTTGTTTTCATTGTCTGGGCCTGCTACAAGGTGCGTCCTTTGGGAGGAGACCAGAGTGGCTTTATAGGTGTTTGAGTACTTAAATTCTAGGTCAGCATCTTGAGAAAATCTTGCATAGAGCCATGAGGCTTATATTTAGAAGCGAGCAGCAGCCTGGCAGATTGGCATGATTTTTACCAACTGCTCAAAGGCATCCATGGCTTCTAGCTGTGTCTCCCAAAGGAAAATGTCATTGTCTTTTATTCAAGGCATTTAATAGCTCTTTACAAATATTGGCATATGACAGACCGATTAGAAGCAAAAAAACTCTCTCCTGGTGGTTGTGATGTGGCTGTTATAGGAGTGTTTGTGCTGTACGCTTTGGTTAAATCTGTTTTAAAACCTGCTTTAAGATTTGCCATATGCAGTTGTACTTTAATTCTAAGCTCAGAGCTGTGCTGGTTAGTTTCTAGTCACGTCCTGTATTATAAAGTATGTTGTGGTTGTAGAGTTAGCCAGTTTAGCATGTTCCTAATCTGAAAATTAGTGGACTTCACTAGGAAATGCTATCCCATTTTCCCTTCCCAGCACCCCTTATCTTAGTTAACGTCATAGTATCCTCACTTCTTAAACTAGTTTTTAGAGTAAATAAGGAAAAAAGCCATTTATTTTCTTCTAGCTATGTATTGAGAATGACTCAATAAGTGTACAACTTTTTTTTAAAGGCCAGAGGATTACTTTTCAAGTGTGTAGAAGGCTGTGTGTCCATTTCTGTTCACCTAGGTCCTGGTGGTGACCCAACTTGCAGCAAGAGCAATCGCTCATTGCGACTTACTCCCAGAGTTCAGCTGGGACTCAGAAATCTGCATATTCTCTCCTGGTCACATTTTTTCTGGAGAGCACTGCTTTTATATCTAGAAGTTCGTTACCTCCTACATTATAGTGGGATATTGAGCTCCATGTGAGCACTGAGATCCGCAGACTCATACTTTTGTGAGTTGGGGATATGGTATGATACACTGAACCAAGTCAGAACATATTGAAATATTTCCTTGCCTCCTTCAGTTCATCACTATTAAAGTGTGTAGGCAGAGAAAATGGATTTACGCTTTTTAAAAAATGGTTTCTTTAAAAGGGGCTGCAGGAAAGCATCCTGCTGCTAATCTCCAGGGCCAGAATCTCACAAGTTTCTCTCAGAGACTTAAAGAACCATCTTACAAAAACAAAACCTTGTAAGTGGTTCTGATTTCTTCATTTTGTATCTTAACCAGCTGAAATATAGAATATCTTGAGGTCTGATTCATCAGCTGGGTAAAAAATTCCGTCTTCGAAACCATGAGTAAATGCAAGAAAATGAAGCCAGGACAGGACGAGTCCCTCGTCTGTCTGTATACACACAATGTGGTAGAAGTAAGGTGGCGAGGAAACTCTGGGCCTGCTGCCCTATTCTATTCTATTCTTTTTTAATTGAATGTACTATAAAAGATCATAGACTTGTGCCAAGTCAGTTACTCTGTGAATATTCATTTCCCTTAGTGCTTTGTTAATTCATCAACATTAGGCCTGGTCCTGACTCCACCTTTCTCCACTCCAGGCACTGGCCCACCTTTCTGTGTATTTCCTATAGGATATTAAAGATGATCATGACCTACATTGTATCTTCATTCAATAACTGTTTACTCCCAAATTTGAGGGAGGTGTGTCTTTTGTTTTGCCAGAAAAAATTTGTAGTAGTCTGCACGTTGGATTTCTAGGGCCAGAGAACTGCAGCAGTGAAACTGGTTTCACTTCTAAGGCCCTTCATTACCCACAAGGTTAAGCTCTCTGAACCGCATTTGATCCTTGGGTCGTATTTTGATCCTCCTTTGGAATCTTAAAAAAAATCGGTGTCCATGTTGTATGCAGATTAGAAGTTGCCTTGTTCGCTACTCTTCCAGCACAGAGTATCAGGGAGAAAGAGGCCTTATCCGTTCCTCCATCCCTTCCGTTTTGACAGACTGCTAAGATTTCCTCAGGACTTCCTTTGGTTTGGGATTTTACTTTCCCAAAAGCCTGATCTGATTCATTTCAGGCATAGACAAGCTTGTCCTAGTGCTCTGCTTCAGGGCTAATCAGATGAAACCCAGGAATAGAAAAGGTAGATGCCTTGACTTTTGTCCCTGTTGGGGGATTAAAGTGTTTATCGCCAGAGTTATCAAAAGCTCTAGTTAACAAAGCATTCAGAGTTTCAAGGGAAAAAAAATGATGCTTTTTCTCTTGGAGAACTTTTAAGTTCTCCACCATGGCTTAGATTTTCCAAAATGGAAAGCAAAGCTTGTATAAAATCCATTTTCACTAGAGATATACAATTGAGTATAGTCATCTCAGTCTATTTCCCTCTCCTTATTTCCTCCTTGGTCACTGATTGAGTCAGGCTGGAGGGGTAAGTTATGATTGCAAGAAGTGAATTTTCACTGTAAACTTGGATTGATTAATAGAAACAATAAAACCAAACAAAATAGTTGCCCCTAATTCCTAGCTCCAAGAATTGCTTTGTGCCATTTTGAATTCAGGTAGTTATTCTGTATATACTTAGAAGACTGTTCTGAGCTTCTTCAATCTCTAGAAGTTCAAAAGGGGTATCTGGGAAGACACAGGGCAGGGTGATTTTGAGAACCCTACTCATGCATGAAATTAAAAATATGGATAAGCCAGAATGATGTAACATCCAAATTTGTGGTAGATGAAGAATCAGTGGAAATTCTTAATTGCACAGACTTTATAATCCATAATACAGAGTGTAATTCCATACTTTTTACTGTGGCAAGGGTGTGATGTGCTGTTAACCTTTTTAATTTTTGAATCCAAACTGAATTTAAAGTGTTGAATATTTAAATTCCTCACAAGCTAATTATGAACCATTTGTAAAGTGTTTATATAACTCTTTGTATCATGTGTTGGTACATCTTATCAAGTTTTTTCTGGCATGTATTCCATTCTAAACTTCTGTAAAAATTTCTATTGTTGCTGTAAATATTATACAAATATCTATTCCGTGGTAACCTTAATTATCAGCATGAAATGGTTAATTTTTACTGAGCACAATGTATTTTTGAATGGATCTTCCCAAATGTCTTTAATAAAATGCAGATTTTGCACTGACTGATGTGATTACCAGGCTGTCCCCATCTTGAGCATTGTGGTCCCTCCTTTTGTACAGCAAGCAGCTCCATGTTAGTTCCTTCTTTGTAAAGAACTCATTTGATTTCAAATGGGGGATAATGGGCCTTTGAAGTTGAAAGCAGTTTAAGGGACAGAAAGTAATGTTAAAGCAGGGCAAATCCTGTTACTTAATGATGATAGTCTTTTTTTTTTCCTATTTATAAAGCTTTTTTTCCCTCCTGGCCTTTTGAAAACTGGTTTCTTTCATACTGGAGTGTTGTGTTGTCTCCTTTGCACATTGCTAGACACTCACTTGGTGGTTTGGGAGGATGGGAAGAGATGTCTGCCTCCTGCTCAGTGTGATGGAGAAAGCAAAGACGAAGTATTTCTTCATGTTTTAGAGTAGGAGTTTGGCAAACTTTTTTTTTTCTGCCGGATAGTAAATAATTGAGGCTCTGTGGGCCATAAGCAGCATAGGCAATATGTAAATGGGTATGGCTGTGTTCCAATAAAACTTTATTTACAAAAACAGGTGGGGGTGGGGGTAGATTTACCGACCCATTTTAGGCCCTCACTTTTGTCTTTGGTCATTTGCTCAGTTGGTCTTATTGTTAATGGGGGAAAGAACTTAAATTGTGTGATAACATATATAAATATTCTCCAACTTTATCTCTCTGAACAAAGGACAGGAACTAAAACCCAGTGATATGCATTCTTAAAAGCACCGTGTCTCCAACTTCTTCACTCCCGAGTTTCTCCTTACCATCCCAGAAACTTGTGGTCTGTGATTTCAACTATACTTTTTATCAAGACTGAATCAAACGATCTGTTGGCTTGTAATTTTTCTGTTTGTAGCACTTATTATGGCTGGGCACAATGCCAAGGCTTTTACTTTTATTATTACATTTACTTGTCAGAGCAATTCACTGAAGCGAGTAGTATCCTCATTTTGTGGATGAGGAAACTGAGGTTTATGGACTTCACGTTAACTTACCCACGGTCACCTGGCTAGGATTTGAAGCCTAGTGTGTTCACTATGAAGCCCACACCCTTAAACGCTAGTAAGCAGGGCAGTTGCTGCGTCTCCATGTATAGAGAACTGACATGGGGTTCATGACATATATGCGATTCATGTACCATCTTTCATCTCCCAGCAGGTGGTAGTTGATTTGATTTGAGAATAGAGCAGTTCGTTGAAACAAGTCACTAGAGGTCCAGAGACTGGTGAAGTGGCTAAGAGCACAGGATCTGGAGTCTGATTGCCTGAGTAGAATCCTAGCTGTATCACCTACATCTTGTGTGGCCTTAGTCATGTGACTTAACTTTTCTGTGCCTCAGTTTCCTTGTCTTTGAATGGAAATAATAATAGTACCTACTTCATTGGGTTGTTGTGAGGATTTAATAAGATGGTAACCTGCAAAGCACTTGATAGATTCTAAATAAATAGTAGCTAGCTATTATTTGTGCCTCATTTGGCAGCCCTATGAAGTTAAAAAGCAGTGTTACTGGGTCTTGACTGCCAGTTCTAGAGAGCTGTTAAGCTCTTTAGATGTACTTATGCTATTTGATCTTCACATCAGCCTTGTGAAGTTGTCGGGGTTAAGAACCACCCAGCCTGGCACTATTCTTGGGATCACAAGGGAAGCAACAGCCCTTACAGCTGTGCATTTGTCAGCAGGCCTTGGCACCCACGCTCCAGGTAGACAAAAAGATGGGCTTCTGTCAGCGTCTCTTCAAAGGCTCACCTTAGGGGTGCAGTCTTCTGGCCTCCGAGACTGAATTCATAGTGGTACCTTTATTTTGAAAGGCCCAAGTAACCTTTGCTTTGTCCAAGTAACCTTCTCCCACACTCAATACCAAAATCAGCTCAGATTTTTTTTTAATCTTGGCAACACTTAATGCCACTTCTTTGTTCATAGCATTTCATTTAGTTGTTTAAAAGTCTCCTGCAATATGTTATGTATATTTTACCGCAATTAAAAAAAAAAATCTCCTGAAAGTGTAGACTTTCACACTCTAGCATTTGTGAGACTAAAAGTAAACGTGTTCACCTAAGGTAAAATAATGAGTTGTTACTACACTACATATATTTTTTTAATTGAAATTTTTCCCCACAAAAGAAATAACACTACAAACATAGTTCATGTGTTAGCAAGATTCTGTTAGGCTTCAGATGTCCCTCAATAAAAGTTTTGTTTTTATACTTTGTTATAAATTAAATGAAGTAAATAATATGCTGTTACAAACAAGTTGCCTGAAGATAAGCATCTTATGGATATCGATATATCATTGTTTATTAAATCCTGGAGTATAGAGCAATTTCCAATGTGAAATCTCAGCTGGCTTTGCAGAAATTGACATATTGACCCTAAAATTCATATGGAAATTCAAAGGACTCAATAGCCAAAACATTTTTGGAGAATTCACATGTTCCAATTTCAATACTCACTACAAAGCTCCAGTAATCAAAACTGTGTGGTACTGGCATAAAAGACATATAAATCAATGGAATAGAACTAAGAATCCAGAAATAAATTCTCACCTTTATGGTCAATTGATTTCTCAAAAAGGATGCCAAGACCATTCAGTGGGGGAAAAATGGTCTCTTCAACAAATGGCGCTGAGACAACTGGATGTCCACGTGCAAAGAATGAAGTTGGACCCCTACCTCAACCATATACAAAAAGTAACCCAAAATAGATCAAAGATCTAAATGTAAGAGGTAAAACTATAAAACTCTTGAAAGAAAACAGAGGAGTAAATCTTCATGATCTGGATTTGGCAGTGGTTTCTCAGGTATGACACCAAAAACACAAGCAACAAAAAGAAAAGAATAAATTGAACTTAATCAAATTTTTAAAATATGTTTCTAAGGATTCCATCAAGAGAGTAAGAAGAGAACGTACAGAATAGGAGAAAATATTTGCAAGTTGTGTATCTGGTAAGGGGATTGTATCTAGAATATATAAAGAACTCTTACAATTCAATAATAAAAAGACCGCCTGATTTTAAAATGGGTAAAGGATCTGAATAGACATTTCTCCAAAGAGTTGTGCGAAAGGGCAGTGAACACGTAAAAAGATACTTAGCCTCATTAGTCATAGGGAAATGCAGATCAAAACCAGTGTGATACTACTACATACACACCAGGATGGCTCTAATCAGAAAGATAATAACAAATGTGGAGAACCTGGAACTCTCATATATTGCTGGTGGGAACGCATAACAGTGTGGCCACTTTGGAAAATTGACAGTTCCTCAAAAGGTTAAACATAGAGTTGCCATGTAACCCAACAGTTACACTCCAAGGTATATACCCAAGATAAATAAAAACACCTCCAAACAAAAACTTGTACACAGTTGTTTATAGCAGCATTATTCATAATAGCCAAAAACATGGAAACAACCCAGATGTCCATCAACAGATGAATGGATAAATACAATGTGATCTATGCGTATAAATGGAATGATATTCAGCTGTAAAAAGGAATTAAGTACATGCTACAACATGAATGAACCTTGGAAAAACACTATGCTAAGCAAAAGAAGCCAGACAGAAAAGACCACAATTGTATGATTCCATTTATATGAAATGTCAAGAATAGGCAAATCTACAGAAACAAAAAGTGGATCAGTGGTTGCCTAGGGCTAGGCGGGTGAGTTGGTGGGGGGGGGGGGGGCGATGGCTAATGGGTGCAGGGTTTCTTTGTAGGGTGATGAATTTTTCTAAAATTGTGATAATGGTCACTCTTGAGTATACTAAAAGTCATTCATTGTACACTTGAAATGGGTGAAATTTGTATGGTATATGACTATCTCATTAAACCTTTACAAAACAAAAATTTCCAACATGAACAATTACTTGGAGAACCTTTATCACTGCCTCACACTGTTTCATTCTTTTCTTCTTTCCCCTTAACTGTACTCCCCTCCTGTGTCTGGTGTGCCTGTTGTAGAGGACCTGAGCTCTTACGCTACCTCCATTTTCTCTGACAATCCATGTCATGATAAAAGTTCATTCAGCTTTCCAGTGAGGGGCTCCGATCCAGCGTCTGCTCTAAATGGATTTATTCTAGTTTTCCTAAGGCCAGAGAAGGATTTTTTTTTTTTCCCCTCCACCTTGAATTTGATATGTTCGTATTTGAGAGAATACTGAGCAAGGAAAGCTTTTTTCCAGCTTCAAGTATACAGCATGGGGATTAGAAAGATGGTGGGTTGAATATAAAGCTGTTCTAAGCCCAAAACACCAGGGAGGAGATTTGGGGCTTGTAGGAGGCTTCCTGCTCACAGAGAAGGTGAATGTGATGTCCAGTATTGCGTGAGTGTGAGTCCATTCAGTTGGCTTGGCATTTGAAATAGAAAGTAACTTAGGAAAATGAGCCGCTAGTAGAGGTCCAGTGGTGTCAAGGCCAGGACAGTCTTGGATTCCCCAGTCTTGACAGAGGGCCCTCATCCTCTGCTTTCACCCCCCCTCAGCTCCTACTTTCATATACGTCTCCTTTCCACCCCCTGTGTTTTCAGCCTCTCCCAGGGAAGGGCATGAAAACTCAGGCCGAGCTATAAACGACAGAGGAGACTTGGGCTGTTGTCCCTGAAAGGTCCCTGCTTAATGCATTCCCCAGGCCCATTCCTGGCCCGGTCCTTCCCAAGGCCGTTTCAGCCTCAGGAGCAGGCATGCTTGTGTCTTGCAAGGCAAGGGGGAGAGGTTAAACAGTTGGGTCACAAGGGACGTAGCCACATTGCCCTTCTTAGGACATAGGGTCTGACCACTTCCTGCAAAGCATGCAGTTAGCTAATGGGCCTCCCCTGCGTAGCCAGTGATAGCTCCTGGGCCTACTGTTTTTAAAATGTTAAGCTTGTTGAAAAATGGTAGCCCTAGATAAGGGGAAATTCTGGTGTGCTCTGGTCATTTGGATTTCCTAAAGATAGAGAAACTTTGCTACTTAGATGTGCAGCCTGTCCCATGGGTTCACCCAAGTAGCGGCCACAGATGAAAAATTTGCTAGAAT